ATTAATGCTTAATCCACTCTTTTTCTTAATCTCCAGATTAAATATGGCTTGTTTTCCTCATGAATTTAATCCCCAGATAAGTCAACAGATCGGGATTAAGGATATCCCATTCTAAAGTTTTCAGCTCAGGTATTCATTAGATATCCATGGTTATAATATGAAAAACTAATTAATTTCAATTGCTGGTTTTCTACAAAGTGACTTGCGCATTTCTACCGCAGGAAAGTATGAGAATTAAACCCTTTAAATCCTAGGAAAACAACAATATTGTCCACATTTTTTACCAGATGAAGGATTCAACACGGGCAGCCGCAGTACATTTGAATTTCCGAGCCAAGTCAACCTTTCCGGTCCCAGTTTGTACTGTATCTAGCTCTATGGACAGGACTAACCGGTGCAACAAGGTTGACGCGGTCAGACTTTATGCTTCATATAGGTTGATTTTACTTTTACTAAAAGTATGCCACACTTTTTCTTAAATTTTTTGTAAGTGTTAAATGTCCCAAACAAATTGGATACATTTACAATCTGTTTAATCAGATATTTAGAATAAATAGTTTATGTTGACAATTATTTTAATCTGATTAAAATAAAACGATTTGAGTTCTGTTGCAAAAATGCAGATAAATCGATTTTTACGAGTTATTCTAGTTCTTGAGATCTAGGAAATGATAAAAGAGTACATACAGTACACGTGAATTTGAACAGAGGAGTACAATGCAGTACAGTGAGTTCGAAAAGAGGAGTACAATACAGTACAATGAGTTCGAAAAGAGGAGTACAGTACATAACAGCACAGTACAGTGCAGCACACAGTAGAGTTTAGTACAGTTAAGTACAGTAAAGTTAAGTGCAGTACGGTAAATACAGTACAGTGAGTTCGGCACAGAAACAGTATAGTGCAATACAGTACAGAAAAATCAGGGCTTAAAAATTAATTTCGATATATTTTTATATCCTCTTAATTAACAAAAATCGCTGATCTTTCATGTTTTTTTAAACTCTCTGCACACATCAATAAATGAAGAGGAGAAGGGGAAGGTCTAAGTTTTATTACAACTGTTGGTTAATAATCCTAAAATATATTTATTTATATCTATTTGTTTATTTTTAAGATTATTTACAGATTGTTTGTTTAACAACCAGTTTCATGCTGGCTTCGTTTAACTTTTCCCCTTAACTAAATCCTTGATTCTATTATTTAATGAAGGTATTGTTTGATTATGTTAAAACAAGCTTGTTATTAAATCATCGTTTCCGGTTGGGATTTATCTATGATATTAACTCAGTAGACTGGTCAACAACAACCTCCCCTCCCCCAAACAGGCGCAAATGGGAATATTTTGCAAGGGTTGGTCAGGAGATTTCCTCATTAAGTGAAATTTAATTTGTAAGGAGCTGCGCCATTACCTATTTCTTTTCATATAATGAAATTATAGAATAAAACTTTTTTTGCCAAAACCACCATTTGTCCCTATTTATGACCTGAAATAATGGAGAAATGAGGACACCACCTACTCCACCTTGTTGTGCATCCCCCTCCCTCTTTTCACGAACAACCTCTACAAATTGTCTGAAACGATACAGACATTTAGATATGTTGTTGGTGTATAATCTTTATTTTAAATAGTTTTTATTATCTTTATTGATAGAAATTATTTAATAAATAGATAGGGATTTATATATAACGGGTTTTCAAAGCTTTTTTGGTTGGAGCATTTTATTTTGAAAGATAATTAAAGCCATGTGTGAAGTGATTAATTAGTAAAATATTTTTAATAATTATAGATAAAGCTTGAAAACTAATGACATATAATTAAAGATGATTAAACATATATTTCCAATTCTCTAATCACCTCTATCGAAAGGTCGTTAGCAAGGACAGAGTAAACCTAAACATTAATGTATAAAAGTACGAAGACAGAGACCCTGAAAAAGCAGCTTCAAATCCACCAAAAATCCAATATTACCCCAACCCCACCCCACCTTTAATAAATCTGAAAATTGGGCCTTCGATACATTTTAGAATTTTAGACTCAAGTTATGACTTTCAATAGTCAATGAACATGAGACAGACCCATTTAACTTAATAAGTGATTTAATAAGTTACTATCAATCAAAACAACCAGAAATGGTTAGGCTGTAGCCCTGGCTAATAATTGTTTAGTAAAAAATTATAAAATGTAAAATGTATTTTTTATAATGTTAGCCGAAATATATATCTATCTATCTATCTATCTAGTAAAACTTTATGCTTTGTAACATCATGAAATACACTTGTGGATTGCTTTAATGTCGTCTTCCTATTCCGTAGTTTTCTGGTTCTCACTGTATAACTAAAGCTGGGGGAGGGAGAGGGGGGGTATATATTGTGAAAATGATACCGGATTACAGCGTTTTAGTTTGAAGGTGATATAAATTGAAGGATACATGTGTAACAATATCTATTCTACACATATGAACTATTTGTATCAAATTACATAAACAATAGATGAAACATTGAAAAAGTCAATCAGGACTTTGTTTAGAACTTTTAAGTAGAACTTATTAAGATTGTCCAATTAGTCTAATAGCAAAAGAAGAGATACATACTCATAAATTCTATTCGTAATAATTAAGATGTTTATTTTGTCTGTACTGCAAAAAAATTATAATGATATTGTCATAATAATAATGATAATGATTATGAAAGTAACATGTAAAAATGTGAATAAAAAATAAGATTAGATAAAATAAAGACTACAAGTGGCCTTAATTTTAGAATTTTTGCCAGAAAAATAAACACCCCCCCCCCCCTCCCCCCTCTTCTTTGCTCGACGGTGTCCTATTTACAAGACATGCTGTGTAGACAAGAAACATTTTTAATTGTATCTTCCCTGGACATTCTCCTAAATAAACAAACTATTTTCAACCTCACATATTTACTTCTTTTTAAAACAAATACTCGCCTAGAAACACTTAAAGGGTCGGTAAGCATAATTTCAAGTGACCCTCCATGCAAAGATGGCAATGCCCGATTCACAACAGTACACATAAGCGCTTTCATTGATCAGAGCTGAAAACTTTAGAATGGTGGATATCGGGATTAATGCTTAATCCACTCTTTTTCTTAATCTCCAGATTAAATATGGCTTGTTTTCCTCATGAATTTAATCTCAAGATAAGTCAACAGATCCGGATTAAGGATATCCCATTCTAAAGTTTTCAGCTCTGAGCTGAAAACTTTAGAATGAAATATCCAGATATCCCGTCGAATAATTAATCTGAAGTTTAAAATCATGCAGAGTTACTGCAATATTTAATCTCGAAATTTATGACATTAGCCCTTTTATGATATCCACCATTCTAAAGTTTTCAGCTCTGTTCACACAAAAAATGGCCTAAGATTATAACAGATTTTAAGCTCATAAGTTTATAAATAAAAACTGTAATTTTATAAAACTAAACATTCAGGGCGCTTAGCGCCCATCTTCGATTTCAATTGTGAACATTTTCTCTTCGTATAAATTGTAAAAAAAAAGTTTGCGATATTATAAAAAAATGTCGTGGATTTTTAAATTTAATGAAAATCCAATTTTNTGACAATTGCAAAGAAATATAATAAATGGTGATAATTATTTAATAACTGTCCCGTCTCTTTATTATTTAACAATAAAACAGGGGTTAATATGCTTTTTAAATTTATTAAAATTATTTTGTTTACGTGAAATTTGTCAAGATCTTAATAAAATTGAATTGTAGACTTTATAATTCTAAAGCTTTTTGTTCATATTTTGTCACACGCAGTGAGAATTCACTAGTAAAGAGTGTGCTTGGTCAGTAAGATAGATAGATAGATAGATAGATATATAGATGGTTAGATGGATAGATAGACAGATGATCAGTGATGCGTATGAACCAAGGTTAAGTGTTAAACTAAGCGTCAATTGTAAATTCATTCATTCATTCTTCTTTCTTTGCACCCTTTCTTTTCATCTTTCCTTTCATCCTTTCCTTTCATCCTTTCCTTTCATCATTCCTTTCATCCTTTCCTTTCATCTCTTCTTGCCATCCTTTCCTTTCATCCTTTCATCTTTCCTTTCATCCTTTCCTTTCATGGATTTAAACAGAGGGGGTATAAATGAAGGGATTCGTCTTAAACTCGTTTGTTTGCCAAAAAAATAAAAATGAAGAACGAAAAATAAGAGAAACAAATTCTGTCAACAACGGGAGAACCTGAAAAGCCAAACCGTCTATATTTAAGCTAATACAAATATTAAAGTTAAAAAAGTTTTAATATCTTTGCAACTAATGAGTGACTCGACAGATGACAGGTCGTCATTATTCATGGGTCCTAAATCTTCCTGAGAATCAATTATTTAAAGATTTAATGATATCACTAATGGAGATGTCTGCAAAGTTAATTGCACAACACACTTAACTCGGGCAAAAATATATTTACTGCAATATCTATTGAAAAGTGAGAAGAAAAATTTGAAATAGCTCACAGTACATAGTACAAAGTACACTGCGTTTACACAAAAGAACGTACATAGTACACAGTACATATTAAACAATTCACACAATAAACAATACACATGGTAAAAGTTTAAGATCTGATATTTCAATATTTCATGATGTTTGTATATCGGGCTATCGTGTAATTTATCTGCAATCACCAATATATCTATCTATTCATACAATATCTTGTATTCATAAACATATACATCTGTTAACTTACCAACATATACTAGTCTTTTTTTCTAGTCTGTTGTCTATTTTTGTATCAGTATACTCTTGTCTATCTTTGTCTAGTCTTGTATATTCTTGTCTATTCTTGTCTATTTTAGTCTATTCTTGTCTATTCTTGTCTATTCTTGTCTATTCTTGTCTATTCTTGTCTATTCTTGTCTATTCTTGTCTATTCTTGTCTATTCTTGTCTATTTTAGTATATGTTTGTTTATTCTTGTCTACTCTTGTCTATTCATGTCTCTTTTCTAATATTCCTCCAATTCTCCAGGTGTGTACAAGAGCACTGAGGATGGATATCTCCTATTCTGAATAAGGTTGGAGAAGAGTGGGAGATCCCAACCCGTCCTGGGATGGATGGAGTCTCTAGGTAGGTTGCTGTACAGTAGAAATGTTTCGTCGATTTGTCTATTTGTCAAATTTATATTTTTGAGCGAACACTTAGTTTATGGCTTAAACTTAGGGTTTTAAAACTTTCAGGAGACTTTTTAAAAAATGTAAGAATTGTAACATAATCTGCTCCTAAATCTAACTATGAACAAATTTTGGTTTCGTTCAGGCTTATATAAATTTTCAAAATAAACATTTTATTTGATTTCACAAAAACAAGCATCTAGAGAATTAAAGCCCATAGAAACCTTCTATGTTTAAAAACGGATAAAACATGCAGGAAACTCATTAGTTGTAAACTAAAGATATGGGGGGGGGGAGGAAAGGAAGAGACATTAAGAATGGGAAAAATTGATTTAGGAAAGTAATGAAAAGGGAAAAACAAGGATAAGAATATAGATAAGGATATGGATAAGGATATAGATAAGATTATGGAGAAAGTTATGGACAATGATATATGGAAAAGGATATGGATAAGGATATGGATATGGATATGGATAAGGATATGGATAAGGATATGGATAAGGATATGGATAAGTATATGGATATGGATATGGATAATAATATGGATAAGGATAAGGATAAGGATATTGATAAGGATATAGATAAAGATATGGATAAGGATATGAATAAGGATATGGATAAGGATATGCCATAAGAATATGGATATGGATATGCCATAAGGATATGGAAAAAGATATGCCATAAGGATATGGATAAGGATATAGATATGCCATAAGGATATAGATAAAGGTATGCCATAAGGATATGGATAAGGATATAGATAAGGATATGGATAAGGATATGGATAAGGATATGAATAAGGATATGGATAAGTATATGGATAAGGATATGGATAAGGATATGGATAAGGATAGGGGCGTGGGAAAGATTAACTAAATGAATCCGGAAAGGGAAGAAAAAGGAATGCAGAATTATTGTGATATGTGTGGAATGTGTTGAATGTTAAACTAATGAGTGATGAGTTTTAAACACTTTTACAATCCTCATTCATTCTTACGCGACAATATTTTAAAATAGATCTTATTAAAGGGACTGTGCGCGTAATGTTTAAGTGACCCTCCATGCATAAATGGCAATGCCTGATTTACAACGGTACCCTTAAAAGCTTTGTCTGATCACATTTGAATCAGACAGCAACGTTTAAAATTTTTCAATCTGATTATTTTTAATTGTAGATTTTCTATAAAAGTGCAATTTTACTGCAGGAAAACCTACAAGAATTATCAGAATTGAATACTTTAAAACCTAAAAGAACGACAATATCTTCCACATTTTTGATCAGATCCAGGTTTTAGGGGTATCGTTGTGAATCGGGTAGTGCCATCTTTGTATATAGGGATACTGGAGATTACACGTACAGTCCCTTTAAAATATTTTTATTCTATTTTTAGGAGTTTTGAAGACAGATTGAGCTTTTGCCGTTATGCAACAGAACCGACGAAAACGACCTTCCGGTCATCAACAGCAACTTAACGGTCATCCAGGCTACCATCAACAACAAGAGGGTCATCATCAATATCATGACGGTCATCATGTACAACCAACCAGTCATAAGGTCAATTACGGTCATTATGGGCCTCAGGGACCGGGAAGGCAGGACCAGAGTTGGACCTCCAGCCTTGAATATGGACCTGGAGTTCATGGACATGTGATTAGGGACCCAGTGGACTATGGACATGGTGGTCGTGGACCGGTGGTCAGAGACTCAGCTGACCTACACAATATATCTCAGGGAACCTTTACTCTAATACACTGACACCTTGTCTAAACGGATTAAATAAGGACCCTTCGGATTAAGTTAAAAACTTTAGGACTAAGTATGGATTAAACTATAAGGATTTAACAAGTTAAGGATTAAATGTGAAAATAAAGTTTTTAATAAGATGATTAATGTATATATATAAAGAAATCAAGGAATAAATGTTAAAAAGTAGATATATATATATATATATATATATAGATGGAAAGCTTAAAAAGGAAGGGACTGTCATAAAACTCTAAAAATATGACGATTTAAAGCTTGATTTTTAGTTTTTGTATTCAATAGAGTATTTTGATGGTTTACTGAATAGTCAATCACAGAATTTTGCCAGTTTTGGCCTACAAGGAACCCTGAATACAAGAAAACGGACTACACAAATTCCGCACAATCGTCTCTGAAGTCTCATCCTTTCTGGGTCCCCTTATATATAAAGTGCATAAAGTATAGTATAGCTGGTAGATTAACAACCAGGATTAAGGATTCTAACCATGTTTAGAAGATTACCATGAATTAGAATAATTAGCATAATCTTGGTGTTAAAGAAGACATAAATTTTACAACTATTTATGCACAGAGGAATAGATGGATAGTTGTACATGGGATACATGAATGAATGAATGAGTAAAGGTTTAACCCTACAGGACTCGGGGTTATCACATTCGCCCACTCTACAGACAGAAAGCCCACAGCTAACAATAGGAATACAGTTTATTCTAATATTTAATCGCAGATAACATAAATAGTTAACACAGTTAACGCAGCTAATAGTTAAAATAGAGTTAAACGTTGCATTAATAAGTATTGGAGCCTTTCTTTGCACATTATAACCTTTAAATAAACAATTTAACAATATTTTAATACAGTGTTTTCCTCTTTTTTGAGATGTCGCTTAAAATTAATAAGTATTGGAGCCTTTCTTTGCACAATATAACCTTTAAATAAACAATTTAACAATCTTTTAATACAGTGTTTTCCTCTTTTTTGAGATGTCGCTTAAAATTTTTTAATATTGTTATAAAAATGAACATTCTAAGTGTGCAGTAACTAACTTGGGAACCCAGCTTTGCCATAAATTCTAAACTTTACTTTTTAAGTCGACCAACTCAACTTAGGATTTGGAACCCAAACTCAGAATTTCGATATTAGAATTTGAGGCAAATTGGTGAAGGAATTCATGAGTTATGATCGGACATGGAAACAAAAAAGCAGAGACTACTTTGTAAATATAGATTACACTTACAAAATGCAAAAAAAGTTGAGAAATTTCAAAATGAAAAGGAAAGAAGACGACAATCATATTCCACTGTTTTCTGGTGACCCCTGTATTACATTTTCTGGTGACCCCTGTATTATATTTTCTGGTGACCCCAGTATTATATTTTCTGGTGACCCCTGTATTACATTTTCTTGAGTTGAAGGATAAAAATATTTGAAGATATGATGTGAATGATGAAACCGCGGCCATTTTATAAAATTCTCAAATATTTTAAAAATTTCAATATCTAATGATTTTCCGTTGAATTTATAGATTCTAGTTTAAATTGTTTCATGTTGAAACCATCATTTATATACCCTCCTATATCCCCTTCATTACTTAAACCTTAACAATGCCGAGAGATAAAACGGCTTTTATAAATTTTTGTTTTAAGTTTTAGCCGCCGAAGCTTTCATGCCAAAAGTTTTAATTTCACAGTGGTGAGACTAATAAAACATTTAAAATAATATTATTTTATATTTGATGGAAATAATAATAGATATATTTACCATTTTCATACATCCATGGAAAATAGAATAACAAATTGTTTAGAAAAATAAATTTTTAAAGTTTTTAAAGGACTTTGCTTTTTACCAGTATATTTATTCACTTCACAATTTTACCGCTAGGTTGAAAATCAAGCGAAATGGGTTCGTGTACAGTGCAAGTGTACAATTGTTGTGGTTTTACGTTCATCGGACTATTTAAAAACAAAACTTGAATCTAACGGTCGTCTTTTTAATTTCACAGTTGTATGGGGACCACTGCACAAAGAAATTATTGCAATCTATAGATTTCAAACCTTGAATTCAAGCCGGCCATTATACAAATTCTATTTAAAACATATTTAGTTTAATATTGTTATACAATAAACTGAAAATATCCCAGGTTCTCCTATCCGACATATTGAGAATGCACGGAATGGACGAGAAAAAGGCGGAAGATGGAGCCTTAGCGGATTTTTCCGACGAAAATCTTCTAAAAATAGCGGCTCAGAGAGTGATCTTTATCTGGCAAGTGAATCTTTCTCCGGGTTGAGAGGGAGAGGGGGGAAAACAGGGGGGAAAGTGACAAACAACAGCGGATCATTAACAGGGAACATAGTGAGTGACATTCCCCCTCCCCTCCCTCCAAAAAGGTCAAACTCAAGTGGGGGAAGATTTGTTGATTCTCATCCCGGAATTTTCCCCCATCTTAAACCCGACTCCCAGTATCCTGACTCCGATCCTAAACCCTACTCCGGGTACTACTTTCATCCCAGCTTTGGGTATGTCAAGATTGGATCCTATTATGATCAACAAATCTCCAACTGGAGCAGACCTGCTGAATGTTTGTCAAGTCGGTCCAGTGGAGTGGACTCAGATCTTACTAGTTCTTTGGACCTGGCCCTAAGGGACCTGGACCGGAATGTAGAGTCCAGTAGTGAGAATGAAACCGGGTCCACAACTCAAAAATTCGTCCCGCATTACAACAAAACTCGTAGTTCTTCTGAATCTCGTGCCTCTGCTCGATCATCTCGGAGCAGTAGTCAGGGATCATCTTTAGCTCGGAGATCCAGATCTGCAAGATCTGATAGTGGGAGACAGAGACGGAGGCGAGATGAAGGTTCAGTTTTAAATGAGTCTACTGAAGACTACTCTAAGGATGGTTCTGATAAACTAAAATTTAGGAGTGTCCCCACCCATTCTCCATATATTCACACCGCCCACACTGTCAGCCTTGGCCCTGGAGTACTGTCTTCTAACTATCCATCACAAAATCACAATACTCAACGTTCAAATCTCATCTCTCCTCCGGCTCCCCCTCCTAGGGATATGAGGAGAAGACCTCACCTTGATCCACAGCTTGCAAGACCATGTTCATACTCATTTGAGACAATACGAGTACCTGGAGAAAACTGCCAACCATCCCTCCGTGATCCTAAAACCCTTCCTGCACCCATTAACCAACTTCCCATCCCACCCCGAGTACCACAGAGAAACAGATTATCCCTCTCTGATCAGTATCTCTGGGACACTGGAACTCCTCCTCTCAGAGAATCTAGTCAAAAATCTGTTGCTCCTAAAAGAGGAGCAGTATCCATCCCAACCACCTCCTCCTCTCCTGCTTCTCCCCTGTTTATTGATCCTGAACCACGGAGCAGGAAGCCTATCCTTCTGTACTCGTCTACTCCTGTGGTGAATATTGATGACAGTGTATCTGATTATCTCTCCGCTACTGAATTCTGGGCACCTCATCAGCAAAGGTTGAGTTCGCCCCCCGACTCGTTGACGGATAATATGTCGGAACGAAATGTAAAAACTCCAAATAGAGACAGTGCCATAGTATCAAATATATCAACTCCCATCCCAAACTGTGATAGTCAATCGGTCAGTTCATTTGAGAAGTCTGGAAAGTCTAGTCCAACCTCGGTAAGTTCAAAAGACTCAGGTTGCTCTGAACCTAAAACTAGCAGAAGCCTATTATTAACCCCGCTACCTCTGGTTCCAGAAACCCTAGTTTCACCTTTATCTGGTTCTAATGAAGAATCTCTTCCCGGTTTCAGTACCAGGAAACGAAGATCTCATTTCCGCGAAGCAATTTCAGAACTTGAATCTGTTTGTAAGAAGATAGATGCGGACGAGGATTTATTGGACCGGGCGGAGAGACGAGATCTACCAACCCTTCATCAGGAGCTCATCTGGAGAGGACGAATGGAGACCGGAGATACAACCTCACATGATTCATCTGTAGAGCTTGGGTTCTCAGATATAGACAATATTATGAACTGGAACACTTCCAGTTCATTTGAACAACTCAACTCCACACCTTCAAGACCCAGGACACCAGGGAATCGAAGAGCCGGTGTCTCTGACAAAACTCTGGATGATATGGCATTCAGGATGAAAGCAAGTGCCAACAAGATTCCGACAACTATGGCAAATAGTATAGTATTGTCAGATCAGAGTTATCTTCTCCTATCCCCCTTGGAACAGAAGGATAAACTGCCTGGAGCAGAAGAACCTGTGGATGAAGATGAACCTAACATAATTGTTGATGATGTCACCTTCAGAAACTCTAGAGATGTTAACGCCGGAAATATTCGGGATCCCCAACCAAAGTTTGGTATCCCGGTGGGACCTATCACAGGAGGGGCAATATCTGACTATCTGCACGCTGTGCCACAGGAGAAATACCGCAGTACATTTCACCCTATGAAAAATCCTGACTTGGTTAAGGACGACCTGGCATTCCGTCAACTCCGGAAGGATGATAATCCATCTGATCCGGATCATTTGGGCATTGTAAAAGATCCGCATGGTATAATTCTACCACGACGGGTCTGGCCATTCAAGCAAGAATCAAAATCTTCCCATCCCGACTTTTATCCAAATCCCAATAGACATACCAAAGTGATGCGATCTTTATCTGAAGGCATGACAGAGATAATACGGAAGCAGAGTAGTAAACCTTCTGCTGAGATGAATAATCTCTTTTCATATCAAGATATAGATGATATTGAATCCTACAACTGCATGAGATACAGTCTTGAGAAGATGAATAAAGAGAAAGAAGAAGCAGAGGCGGAAAAGAAGAAGAAGAATAAGAAGGAGAATAGAAGATCCGCCTCTGTTGGGCGAACAGTCTTTGAAATCCTCAGATATGGATTAGGTTCTGAATCTGAATCTGAATCTGAATCTGAAAAGGCAGAGATTGAGATTGACAAAAAAGTTGAAATAGATGAAGGAGTAATTATGAATGAAGAAGTGGAGAATGAAAGCGTAAATATGAAAAATGAGGATGAGAGCTTTTACTCACAACAAGTGAAATCTCATCTGGGGAACCAAACTTTCCTCCAAGATAAGATAAGAGAAATATCCCAGTATTTAGAAAGACCTGGAGAAGAAAATAAACCCCTAGTCTGTGCAGAAGAAGGAGAAATGTTTGACGGAGTGATGAGTTTAGTTTCCTTGCCCCAGGACTCTAATTCAGTCAATCCTAGTTTTACAACGTCAAGCAAACCTACGGACCAATCAAATACCAACCTTGAAACTGAAGAGGAATCTACTGTTCAAATCTCTGATGCAGTTGAAAACAAGGCTTGCACACAGGAATGGAATGATTCAACTCTAGGATTGTTTTGTGTCGTGACGAATACATTAACTAATGGTTTGTTTTCCTTGTTTCCCAATAGTTTCTGGGTCAATTCTTATCATTGAGAAATCAGGGCAGGTTCAAATCTTAATGATAGATCTTAAACTTTAGTTTTAGGCCATCTGATAACTTGGGATTTTTAGCACTTTTCACTATCATAAACGATGTTTAAACATTAAGTTTTTTTTAGATTATTGCAGTAAAAAATGTGATTTTTTACATATTAATATTGCTTTTTTAGTTTCTCGTGGTGTGAATTAAAATGATTAATGAATCTATATTTGTGATGAATTTCAGGCCAAATCCATTCGTTTGATCCTCTATTAATCGCCGGCATTATAAATGGCGGGAAAGTGATTTATTGTTGAACTGAAAAATTGGAAGATTTCTGTATGGGGATCTAGGGTGGGTTCGGGATACAAATAATGAATTACGTTTTGGGGTTAAGTCTGGGATAAGATTAATCTATCCCTCTTTTTGTAATTTTCTGGCCAGACCCCAAAAATATTTGGAAACTGAAAAAAGCAAGAGGGATNTCTACTGTCGATTCTGATTTCATCTGAGTTAAAATCACGATGTCGAATTCAATTTATTAAAATTTGGCAGAGTATGGTATCATAAACACACCTCCTAGCATCCAATCATTCTCTAATCCAGGAGCCCGGTGAACCACAGCCTGTAATATATGCAGACCCAGGACACAACCTTGAGGAACCCCGCAAAGGCCATTTTTCCCCTGGGGAAGATAAAAAAGATGGCAATAATAATGGTTCTTGTCTAATAGTTCAAACTGTTCTCATTCCCGAGACGAGATCAAACGGAGAACTCTTGCTAGCACCGGAAGGAGAGGGTTGGGCGGAAAAACTCTCTTGGGAGAGGTCAGAGACCGAGGGACGGGCGGAGAAGGGGCGGAAGGAGAGTCTAGTCCACCGAGCAGCGGAGGCTCTAGGACTAGATGAGAAGGCCGTGGCAGGTGAAGAGTTTGGTCTGCTGACCCATCCAGCCACCCTTATCCTTGTCTATACCCTAGCTACCCTGCACAATATACTTGGAGTTGACCTACTTCAGGCGCTCTCTTATGCTGTACTCATAATTTGCATGCTTTGTCTTGTACTCACATGAACATCTTACATGTGTACTGTAAAGGGAGATTGGTTGTAATTCCTAGAGACCCTCCCCTTAAAGAGGGCCATGTCCGATTCACAACAATACCCAATGAATGAGATATCCTTATTTTTCAAGCTAAAAAGTTATGGTTTATTGTTGTTTTTCTAGTATGAGAAGTGTTTATTTCCAACAATTTACTGCATTGCTTATGTAGCAAGAAATCCGGAAGTAACTTTTATAGAGAAGTCACAATTGAAAAGAACCAATTTTTTAGAGAGAAATCATGGATATATCATCCATCATTAATCTGGAAAAGCTGTTCAGGGAACCGTTCTTGATCGGACATGTCGCTCTTTAAGTTTAGAATCCCTTGAAATTCCGTGTACAGTCCCTTTAAATAAATAAGTAAAGTAAGATTTTCATGTGAATTAAACAGTTTTGTTATCCTGTCCAGTGTGTCCAGAGTCCGAATTTAATGAATTTGAGCCGCGTCCCAAATCCGCCAATTTTTATTGAGAGCCGGCTTAAATATTGAAACATTGAATACAATTTTGAGTGGAAACAACCGTATTTGAGCCGCGTCTCAAATTTAGGTTGCGGCTAAAATTCTTTAAATTCGGCCTCAGCCTACCTCTCATTGATTTTTATTTCCTAAAATTGCAACAGAATGCAGAATTATTTTTCTAAACTTTCAGGAAATTAAAAAAAATATTACGATGAAGCACAGCATGGTGGGAGGTATTTGCAAAGGCCACAAACCTTATTGCACAGACAAAAAATTGGGTATCTTCTTTAACATTTTTTTCATCAATTATCCCTTTCGACCCCCCCCCCTGCCCCCCCATACTTGCTATATTCCAGTTCCCCTTCTTTTCAATTCCCCTCCCCCAAATTTCTCAACAAACCCGTCCCATCTATTGCAAAATTCGATTTCTCTAATTAAGATTATCATAGTATGATGTATTGAAAGACTGGAAAAACAGATTTTATGTATATATATTATTTAAATAAAGATATATTTATATAATATGATTCTGCGTCATAAACCTGCACAGGCATTAAATGGATAATGTACATACACCATAAAAGGATGAAAGTTTTAAAATTCTTTTTGTTTATTTTTGGAAGAAAAAGTTGGCATGTTTATGTTTGATTTTGAAAGGTTCATCCTTATTGGTGGGAAGGTTTTGCACTGGGTTCTTGATCTGAATTTTGTAATTGTTCAACCTTGGTTCTTTGTCCTAAACCTTGGTTCCTTATCCTAAACCTTGGTTCCTTATCCTAAACCTTGGTTCTTTGTCCTAAACCTTGGTTCCTTATCCTAAACATTGGTTCCTTATCCTAAATCTTGGTTCCTTATCCTAAACCTTGGTTCCTTATTTTAAACCTTGGTTCCTTATCCTAAACCTTGGTTCCTTATCCTAAACCTTGGTTCCTTATTCTAAACCTTGGTTCCTTATCCTTACCCCAGTTTCTTATCCTAAACCTTGGTTCCTTATCCTAAACCTTAGTTTCTCATCCTAAACCTTGGTTCCTTATTCTAAATCTTAGTTCCTTATTCTAAACCTTGGTTCCTTATTATAGATCTTGGTTCCTTATCCTAAACCTTGGTTCCTTATCCTAAAACTTGGTTCCTTATTCTAAACCTTTGTTCCTTATTGTAAACCTTGATTCCCTATACTAAACCTTGATTCCTTATTCTAAACTTTAGTTCCTTATCCTAAACCTTGGTTCCTTATCCTAAACCTAGGTTCTTTATTCAAACCTTGGTTCCTTATTTTAAATCTTGGTTCCTTATCTCAAACCTTTGTTCCTTATTCTAAACCTTGGTTCCTTATCCTAAACCTTGGTTCCTTATCCTAAACCTTGGTTCCTAATCCTAAACCTTGGTTCTTTATCCTGAACCTTGGTTCCTAGTCTTAAAGTTTAGTTCCTTATCCTAAAGTTTAGTTTCTTATTCTAAACCTTGGTTCAGGTTTCTAATCCTAAACCTTGATTTTCTAATCCTAAACCTTGATTTCCTAATCCTAATCCTGGTGGTTTCCAATCACCATATTAAAGCTTATCTTTTCAAGTTTTAATTTGCGTAATTTTTAAAAATTTTCCATTTAAATATGTTCTTTAGAAAAAACATCCTCGTTTTAGAACAAAGGCAAGTTCAAGAACATAATTTGAAAACAAAGGTTTATCTGCACTGAGAGCATAGTACAAAGGTTTATCTGCACTGAGAGCATAGCACAGAAAGGTAAAACATATTGTTGTGATGGACTCTAAATGTAATTTCATGAGTCCCGGCAGCAACAATTGAAAAATGACATGTCTGATTCCAAACTGTACCCTTAACATATATAGTAAGATCCATCTATTCTTCCTAAATTGTCTCAGCACAATAAATCCGCAAGTTCATTTACCAGGCTGTAAGAGATCTTCAGACGAAGGTATATTATGTACCGTAGTTTTACTTTACCAAGGGTTCCCTGGACCAATTTTGTTTACAAAACATCCAGAGCGCAGCGAGGTTTTTTTTTGTTTGCACCCCGCGGTTAAGTAAAATTTTTAATTTTCCGAAAAAGCAGTTGTACACAATTTTATCTACTTTTGAGATGATGCGAATTTTTTAACGAAAACTTTGCAAAGCGGATCTTTATTTTACTTAATTGTCCCCAGGGGACGTTTAAGTAACTAACGTTCCTCTGTGGGGGTCTGCAATGTTGGTAAAATGGTACACACTACACAGTCATTGCAGTTTACACATTGCAACAGGGTATAGGTTTTCTTCAAGGCAGTATATTCAGACAGCTGCTTGTCACAACGTTATGCAAATACAGGCACAAGGCATATCAACAAAATTATCATGCTGATTTGAGGCCCAGGGGGAGGGGTAATAGTCCTTTGAGGAGGGGGGGGGGCTTTGGGGGTCGTTTTAAGGGGTAGATTGATATGAAATAAGGGTTTCATTCACGAGTTACGTCGATAGACGTAATTTCAAGTGACCTTTCAATTTTAGAGTGGTAAGTTAACAATTCACAGCGGTACCCTTTAAACCTTTTTCACATAAACAGCGAAGAAGATATCGGGGGTTTCTCTCTCTTTCTCTTTTGCAGCGTAAATCCGATAGTCACTTGTTTTAAGAGAACCGGAATTAAAAATAATCAATATATTAATATTTAAAAAAGAGAGATAACTCCATTAACTTTTATTAGACACACATTAAAGGTAACCGTTGTGAATCATACATGTCATTTATAAAGGGAGGGTCGATTTAAAAAAACGTCAACAGTCCCATTCTGATTGGAAAATATACATGTTTATTAATGACTCGGGGATAATTATTTTTTTTACAAAATTAAAAATTATTGTTTTTTATATGTCCACAGCGAAGGATTCATTTTATGGTGTCAAATTCATATTTCTTGATATTTAAGGACAATTTTTTATATTTTTTGTTGCATAAGATGTTCTAACCAAACGTTGATTCAATATATTTTTCCTATTCTTATATATCAGAAAAAAAGTTGATTTTAGTACTTATACACAGTTTAAAAATAACAAAAAATGAACATATAAACGAACATGGTTACCCACAAAGGATGTGACTGTAAAGACGACCTAAAACTTTTAAAGTATGACGATTTAAAGCTTGATTGAGTAGATAAACTAAATGATTAAGCACAGAAATAATCCATGGCCTCAATGAACCCTGAATGCAAGAAAACGGATCAAACAAATTCCGTACAAGTCTCATCCTTTGTGGTTTAAACTAACAAAATAAACTCATTTTATTTGATTTCAGAGTTTGAGGAAGACGCCCCTGAAAACCCTCTCTAATCCTACCCTAACTACTAACGGAATCTTTGTATTGAAAACCCTACCTGGAAAACCCAACCTAACCCAACCAATTTATCCTATACTAAAATCAAGAGAAGAGAAAGAGTTGTGGAATTTTTTTTACTGGATTGACTAACTTTTAGAAAATATAATTCTATCAATTAGTTTATTAATAGCAAACAGCAAAAAAGTTATTGTCAATCTGCAGTGATAACCAGAAAACTCTGGAATAGGAAGTCGACTTTTAAACTCAAGTTATGACGTTTTATAGCGCATTGAACATGAGACACAGCAATTGTGCAACGTAAAAAGACCCATTTTACTTAATAAGAATTTGAGAACTTTCATATAAAACTAGTTGCTTCAAACAACTTTAAATGCACTTCAGAAATGCTATAATGTCGTCTGCCTATTCCACAGTTTTCTGGTTATGACTGTAGTTTTACAGTGGGATCTATAAAAATGGAATAGGAAGACGACTGTTAGACTCAAGTTATTATCTCGTTTACCAAAATAAAGAAAAAACAGCAATTTTGACAAGTCAATTTTTAAGCTATTGTCATAAACTGGTATTGATTCCATCATGCATGTATTAAATCAATGTGTATTTGATGTTGTTAAGAGCTTCATATAATTATTTAATTAAAAAACTAGATATCTGCCATTATTCCATTATCAGAAAGTTAAGAAGGCGACATTTTTTTAATTCTTCCGATGTCTCTTTAGTCTTTATATTTTAACCTGTATTTAAAACCATAACTTTGAGTCTTACATTCGTCTCTTTCTATTCACAGTTTTAAGGGTCTCACTGAGTCACTGTTACTGACTCTTTCTCCTCTTATTCAAACTCTCAGTGTGCTAAACCTATACATCCAGCTTTCAATAATTTTGTTGAATCTAAAAATATATATCTTATCATATATCTGTTAAATATAAAAGCATTATTTTTTAATACATCAAAAATACATATATTTTATTTACAAGGAGCAACCAACTCCGAACCAATTTATTTTGTTCACCATGAATTGATATTCATGGAAGGCTTCCCTTTCAGGGACAATAGACGTAATTTCAACATGACACCCTCCATCAACAAAGTGGCATGTAGGATTTGCAACGGTGTCCTTACGATGAATGAGATATCCCTGTTTTTCTCTTGGAAAATTATTTTCAATCGTGGTTTCTCTTTAAAAATAACTTTAGAATTTAAAACGTTTTTTGGATAGAAAACAACAACGATTTCTTCCTCTTAGATAGAAGTATAAAAGCGTACGCATACGGATACAGATTGTCACATGAAATTGCATCTACACTTCTTTTAACTTAAGGAACTTTGGGACCAATTTTAAAGTTAAATATTTCGAATGTCGTCTTCTTGACAAATTTTTTCAACTCAACTTAAACGAGGATGGATTGGAAAAAATTCCCGCACATACAGAGCTACCCACAAAGGATGAGACTTCAGTTTGCTCTTATTTCTTATATTTAAAGTTCCTACAGCTTTATACTTGCTTTGTTTGCCAAATAGTTTACAATGATACCTAAAAGGAACTATAATCAATGGAGGAATACCGAACCAACCCTTCAAATTAACATGGTAACCAAGTTTAAGCTTGTCATTGAAGTCTCATATCCTTTGTCAGTAACCCTGTATCGTTGTAGTAGAATAGTAGAATATGCTAAATTCTGATTATTTACCGTCGTCTTCTATATAAAAACAATTCCTTAAAGTCGTCTTCTTTTAGAAGTAAAAAAGTAAGAATGTAATGGATAAATTGGAGTTTCTGACTAATATTAAATTAATCTACATATTCTATGAAAAATACATTATTTAATAATTAAGTACACAATTTTGCTTGAATCGAAAAATTTAAAACATAAGACGACATTTACAAAACTCTTGCTCTAAATCTTTTGAAAATTAAATGGTTAAGCCCCCCCCCCCCTCCCTTTCCCACACATTTTCCTGTAAACGCCCCTGTTATGGAGTACGTAACGGTATTCATGTACATAGTACATTTTACATAATACATTTTACACTGCAAACACTGAAATGTCGTCCTCCTTCTATAATGCAGGGTGTCCCACGAAACATGACAGTTTGTGAATAGTTTTGAATGTCTTCTTATATATATTGTATATATATTAACGATTTTACCATAATATGACTACTATATAATCTTTTTTATCCTTCCTTTAGGTATATACAGTAAAACCCTTAATAACGAATACATCGGAAAAAGTTATCAAATGTCGTCTTTACAATTTGACAATAAGTTTTATACTATATTACGTAAATTTCAGTGTTTGCATAAATAAATAAATAGCCATGAATATGCGGGAACAGTTTTAGAGTTCCATATAATCATTTAATTAAAAAAAAACTAAATATCTGCAACAATCCATTAACAGAAAGTGAAGAATACGACATTTGATGAATTCTTTCGATGTATTCGTTATTAAGGGTTTCACTGTATCAAACAACTTAACAAATTGTGGAAGAAGACATTTTAACTATTCACCAACTGTCGTGTTTCGTGGGATACCCTGTATCTTATAATATTTTGGAATTGTTGTTTTCATTGCATTTGAATGGATTACAGCTTCTTCTTTGCCCTAAAAAGCATGGTGGACATATGCAGTTAATCCGGGATTTCCAAATGATGTCTGCCTGATTCGTAACTTCTGCCTGATTCGCCTGATTCATAACTTAAAATTTGAGGGACAGAGTGGAAGAGGATAAGAGATTTTTTTTACTAGAGAAAGCAAAGCCAAAAATCAGTCTGTTGTTTAAAGGGGCTGTAAGCGTAATTTCAGTGACTCTCCATGCAAAGGGGCAATGTCCGATTCACAACAGTACCCTTGAAACCTTTGTTTGATTAATAATTTGGAAGACCGTTTTTCTAGATTTAAATGTGTTTAGATCTAATAATTTCTGTATTTTTCCTACATGAAAATCTAATTTATACTTGATCGGACATGCATGCATGGAAAGTATCTTGAAAATGAACTAACAGTCCCTGTACTGGTTTGTTGAAATATCTAAAGCGTAGCAATGACGGAAAATTGGTTTAAACTATACTCAAAACAATCGATATTACAGACATCAAGTGAAAATTAGTTTTTGAATTTTTAAATGTTTTATTATTTTATAACTTTATGCTCATATTAAGGACAGGGTGAGGGGGGGGGTGCTACTGATCTTTTCTGTCTCTGATAATCAAGTAATAATCCCCTATTGGACAATTTATTGAACTATTACTCATCAGTCGTCGATATCGTCAAATGTAGGTTTTTCAGATAAATTAGATTGTACAAAAAATCTAACCTTTCAGGGTTCTTCCAAATAACGTAGGTAAAAGATTCACAAATGGAAAGAATTATTTGGCGTACAGCCTAAAAGAATATTTGAGTATATAACTTAGTTTGCCCCTGTTTGACAATATAATAATTCCATTTTTTGGACAATTGCTCTTAAAAACACAATTTAAAGGGCTAAAATGAAGAAATAAATCTTTGTGTATGATTCTGCAGTGAGGCTTGTAGCTTCGCGCTACTGCAGTGTTGTTTAGCTTGTATATTTTATCAAATAATGGCGAAACGTAAGAAGTAAAGCAGGATTTTAGATAATTTTTCGACAATTTTTAGCTGAAGATGATATTTTCAATGATTTTTACTCATGATATTCGACCATTTTTCGTTGCCAATGAGTACTGACCTGTAAAATCCGACCCTATGTTTTTTTTCAGTTTTGACCTTTAAATGGCGTTTTTTAAGAGCAATCATACAAAAACGTTTAATGGAACAAACTTTTTTATCATTGTAGAATTTTTCCCAAGTTTCCTTTGAAGGGGCGTCGTCTTTTTACAATTGCACTATCCTCAATAGGAACAGGAATTGGTTTGGACATACAAGAAAAATTGAGAAAAGAAAATTGCCAACCTGGTTTTTGTTTTTGTTAAACGTCAAAAAATTCACTAATGCAAGCGGGGGAAAAGATCTTCATTTATACTTCGTCTTTGGTATCTAAATATCCGAGTTGAATCACGTGATTTCAATAACGATGAAATCGTTTAAATTCGTTAAAAATTGAAAATATTTTTTGCAAAAAGAAAAATCAAACATTTTCAAAATGTGAAGACAGTATTCAGTGGTTTCTTAATTACGCCATAGCAACATATTTTAAAATTTTTAATTTTTCTCTCTTATCGTCATTTTTGTATGGCAATATTTATTTCACAGAAGTTGTTCAGGCCAACATAAAATACCCTTAAAAAAGTAAAAAATATTGAGATTTCAAAATAAATATTTTTAAAATCGGCCAGTTGCAAAAAGTTTAATTTGTTTAGTAACGTGAAACCAGTGAAAACGGCCCAATCTTAATAGTTAATCCATAATTGCTGTGGTTGCAAAGCTTGCCATTGTACGGCACTCGTCAAGCAGAAAAAGTTAACTTGAAAAAGATTAGTTTTTTACTTAATATGCTAAACCCTGATGCATATTCCTGGCAAATAATATGTAATTATTGTAGAGGCTTGAATGCAACCAATTCTGAATTCACAGAATAGGGGAGATGTAACCATGAATGCAACCAATTCACAGACAAACAGCCAGACATATATATATACAGGGGAGTATGTATCCATCCATGTATGGATATGTGAGTCATAAACTTTAAACTGGTTGGGTTTCTCTCTCTCTCTCTCATGGTTAAGCTCCAGGTTGGGTTTAGAGCTCAGTCTTTGCACACCTTTACTCAGGGTGAACACTTACATACACACAACATACTCATATATGTACAGTTACATACTGTACATGTACAGAAACAGAAGGCGTCATAAAGAGCGCAGTGATAAATTAGTGAAAGTTAATCAAAGTGCCCGGAATTATCTTCAGGTTTAGATTGCGTATACAAGGATGGGTTTGAATAAGTTTCTCCAGGTTCTAAGTAAAGCAAGGAAGGATATAGCTCAGCGTTATCAAAATAAGCGTCCTTCGTAATTTCTCAGTTTCTTTGTCAGAGTATACAGTAGGGAAGATTTAGATTGGAAGTAGTTAAATAAATAGCACAATGTTGCAGAAGAATAAAGTTAAAATAATCTTTTTACTTTTAGAAGTAAAAGTTTCATAATCTTATAAACATTTTAATGCAATAATAAATTGAGTTTTTTTTAAACGAAATGAGTTTTAACGAGTAAGAAATTGTTGTTAAAAAATATATAATGAAAGTTTTCAGAAAAATTTTAAGTAAAATTATCAATTTTTCGAAAAAGTCTTTTTCACAACACAATTTTATCGTCTTTTGAGATTAAAATGTGACATTTTTCTCACGAAAACTTGGCTGACCAGGATGTTTCTTTACTTTACTTTCCCAAAGGACAATAAATTTGACTGAACACCCTATACTGTTGATTTGACTGAACACCCTATACTGTTGATTTGACTGAACACCCTATACTGTTAATTTGACTGAACACCCTATACTGTTGATTTGACTAAACACCCTATACTGTTGATTTGACTGAACACCCTATACTGTTGATTTGACTGAACACCCTATACTGTTGATTTGACTGAACACCCTATACTGTTGATTTGACTGAACACCCTATACTGTTGATTTGACTAAACATCCTATACTGTTGATTTGACTGAACACCCTATACTGTTGATTTGACTAAACATCCTATACTGTTGATTTGACTGAACACCCTATACTGTTGATTTGACTGAACACCCTATACTGTTGATTTGACTGAACACCCTATACTGTTGATTTGACTAAACACCCTATACTGTTGATTTGACTGAACACCCTATACTGTTGATTTGACTTAACACCCTATACTGTTGATTTGACTGAACACCTTATACTGTTGATTTGACTGAACACCCTATACTGTTGATTTGACTAAACACCCTATACTGTTGATTTGACTGAACACCCTATACTGTTGGGGGAATCAGGTTAGTAATGTTGATCAAAAGGCGGTTAGAAAATATGTAAGTGAAATTAAGCTCCATGAATGAGTATTTTTGTATATAAACTGAATTAAAGAATTAGATTTTTGCAAAATTAACAACAGTAAAAAACATTTACATGTAATAGAAAATGGAATTAATAGCAAATAAAATAAATGGAAGGAATAAATACCTAGACAAGAAATTAATAGAAAGATTGATTCTTGTGAAATGAAACAGTAAGAAAGAACTGAACACTTGCCACAAACTCTAATTTTCCAATCTCTACATTTTTTAACCTGATGGTGTAAATCTTTGATATTTCAAACTTGGACTTTTTGATAACCTGGCAGAATAAATGAATGAATAAGTAAATATAGATATGAATATGAATATTGAATATAACCTGGATAAATGAATGAAATGAATATGAATATTGAATATAACCTGGATAAATGAATGAAATGAATATGAATATTGAATATAACCTGGATAAATGAATGAAATGAATAGAATATTGAATATAATCTGGATAAATGAATGAAATGAATATGAATATAAATATGAATAACCTGGATAAATGAATGAAATAAATATGAATATAAATAACCCGGATAAATTAATGAAATGAATGAATAAGAATATAAATATGAATAACCTGGATAAATGAATGAAATGAATATTAATATGAATAACCTGGATAAATGAATGAAATGAATATGAATATGAATATGAATATGGATAGATGAATGAAATAAATATTAATATGAACAACCTGGATAAATGAATCAAATGAATGAATATGAATATGAAGTGAATAACCTGGAAGAATGAATGAAATGAATATTGATAACCTGGATAAATGAAAGAATGAAATTAATGAATATGAATAAACAGAATGAATATCTATGGAGAACTATTTTAAATCGTGTTTGCCAAATAAATGTCAGAGAAAGAAAACTTAAAACTGAAAAATGTAAACTCGGGTTTCTTAAAGGGAGTGTGTGCGTGAAAAATGAAATAATTTGTTTTTATCTGATATTTTATTGATGAGAGAATTGTGATAAACCGTTCGTCGCTTAGCGCCGGGTAGTCAATAAGGGAAATCCTACAGTTGGTTTATCGGTTAAATCATATAGATAATTTAAAGCTGATTCTTGAATTTTTGTTGTAAAAAGATTCCAAATTCCGAACTCTTATCCTACTAACCAATGTTAAATTCTGACAATTTTCTTCCCTTTTTCTATTGAATAAATCCGCATATCATTTTTATTAAGAAATACTAAGAAATAATTAATTTTCAGAAAGAAAAACAAGGATATCTTAATTATTGTTTCCCAGGTATGAAAAAGGGTACCGTATCTAGGATATCAGGCATGCCCGTTTTTCAAAAGAGGGTCGCATAAAAATTACGTTGTCAGTCCCTTTAAGATTCTTGATTATTATTAGTTCAGAACCAGACAGTCCCTTTAAGATTCTTGATTATTATTAGTTCAGAACAAGACAGTCCCTTTAAGATTCTTGATTATTATTAGTTCAGAACCAGACAGTCCTTTTAAGATTCTTGATTATTATTAGTTCAGAACCAGACAGTCCCTTTAAGATTCTTAAATTATTATTAGTTCAGAACAAGACAGTCCCTATAAAATTCTTGATTATTATTAGTTCAGAACAAGACAGTCCCTTTAAGATTCTTGATTATTATTAGTTCAGAACAAGACAGTCCCTTTAAGATTCTTTTTTATTATTAGTTCAGAACCAGCCAGTCCCTTTAAGATTCTTAAATTATTATTAGTTCAGAACCAGACAGTCCCTTTAAGATTCTTGATTATTATTAGTTAAAGACAGTCCCTTTAAGATTCTTGATTATTACTAGTTCAGAACAAGACAGTCCATTTAAGATTCTTGATTAATATTAGTTCAGAACAAGACAGTCCCTTTAAGATTCTTGATTATTATTAGTTACAAGACAGTCCCTTTAAGATTCTTAAATTATTATTAGTTCAGAACAAGTCAGTCCCTTTAAGATTTCTAAACAAAGGATGATAAATTCAATATTAGCTTCAAAAAAAACATAAAATTTTATCTTATTACATAACCTTTTTGGTAACAAATAATTGTGCATTGTTGCAAAAAAAATCTATATTTGACGAGGCATTTTGAATGAAAGTTCAATTTGTTATTTGAATAAATTGTTTGTAATGTCGTATAGACCAGATTTTGTTTAAAGAGGATTATCTTCTCTATACGTAAAAACCTCTATATTATTGTAACCAGAATTATTTCAGTGCATTCACTGATAGAGAAATACAGCTGTGCAATAAAGTTATACAAATCATTTATTTCAAGATAAGACAGAAATAAATGATAACGACCTTTCCAAGGAGGTTGTCCAGGTTGACATCTCTAATGCTTCTATACTCCGAGCTCTCAGGACGCAGAGAGACGAAGTATGAAGGGGGGGGGAGGGGGAGAGAGGAACGCCCACTCTACCTCTACCAGCGATTCTAAATAATAGAATAAATATGAATTTGTTTGTTTCTTGTTAGAGAGTAATGGTTTTTGAATGGACCTGTATTTACTATCGAACTCAGCGCTATAAAACTTATAATAGTGAATAGAAATATAGACTTTCCAATATGTTTTCATGAGAAGATGAGCGAGTATATCAGATAATTGTATACCTGAATATTAATTCTGATAGGAGAGTTGCAGCGCAGGTTAGTGCAAACTGAAGTATTTGATTCAGTTTTATTGTTGTACAGTATACACTGTACATATACCGGTTTACAATCAGGATTCTATGTATATAATTTATCCTTCTCCAGGGTCCCTGCAGTACAGTAAGGAGCGGGGGGAAAGAGAATANTTCTGTATATTCATCCTTCTCCAGGGTTCTACTAATACAGGAAGGGGGCCGAAATATTTGGTTCAATTTCTTCTATGTATGTACAGCTTGTACAACATTGGGGGGCAGGAAAAATTGAAAATGGAACATTTTCAAAGCCAGTGAAAGAAATTGTAACATTCATATGCAATAAAAACATTTCATTACAGGAATAATTACATGCATTAGATCTAATACAGTACATTATTGTTGTAAATAACTAGAGCACAGATTATGTACATTCAACATAATTATTTGAGAGTTCAACTGTGACACTGTTCTTGAAACAGTACAGGAACAATTAAGTCCTCAAATCAGTGACAAAAAATCTGATAGATCTGATAATAAATGACAAATCTTGAAACTGCATGAAACCACATTCAAGATGGTACATTCCAAGAATGTGTTTAACGCTCAATATTCAACACAACATCTGAATCAGAACAAGTGAATAAAGAGTTCTGTTCAGTGCTGAGTTTAAGCATATTCTGTGTGATGCAGAAATAAACTCACAAGAATTGCTTACAAGAGAGTGTAATTCATTTACATGAGAGAATAATGCAGAGCTTTGATGCATAAAAATATCTCAAATGGGAGAAAATGTATTTGAAAAATAACACTACATCTCCTTTTCACTTGGATGAGAAAATAGATCTGCTCAAGCAGGATCTTGTAAAATAAACTCATGGTCAATATCAGTGAAACTGAAATTGACATTGGGACTTCAGTCTTTATTAAACCACCTGTAGCAAGGATAGACTGAAGTCTATAATTGACCACCTGGATCAAAGGGATAGGAGGTGATCACAAACTGCGATCTATGACATCGAATTTCTTGAATAACAGATTGGATGGAACATTCTTTATTTGCAGAAATTCTAATGGCACCAGCACTGAGACTTACAATAAAGAAATCAGGGATTATCTTAGTTCTTGGCTGTGCGGAATCAGAATTTATACCGACATGTACAAACGATTTAGTATCATGGGTTAGATTTAGCAGCTGAGACCTGACTTCTGTTCTCTTCTTGATAACATCATCCTCTGACCCTATCATTGAAAAGGAATTCACCCAGTTAAGAGAGTTGGGTAGATCATGGTTACCAGAAGTATCAGTTTCATGGATTTGCTTGAACTTAGCTAAATTGTGTTTAACTGGTTTGTCATGCATGTGACAGGGTAAGACTAGTTGTCTATGATTTGGCTGAGCTTCTCCTTTATCTGAACCAGGATTAGCAGGATTGGAGGAATTAGCTGGTGAGAAACCTCTTTTTGATAGAAGAGGTTTAAGTTTTCTGCATGGGGCAGGAAATGAAGTGCTGCTATGTTGGACTTGTGACGGCTCTTCATCTGAGCTGCAGGAGCCATGAGTTGATGATGAGGTCACAGACACATTCGATTGTACATAATGTGTAGCTGTAGAAGTTCCTTGGAAGACTGTTCTGCACGGGGTAGGAAATGGAGTGCTGGTATGCCCAACTTGTGACAGCTCTTCATGCGAGCTGCAGGAGCTATGAGTTGATGATGAGGTCACAGACAAATACTTTTGTACATGGTGTGTAGCTGAAGCAGTTCCTTGGATGATTCTTCTGCGTGGGGCAAGAAGTGGAGCAATGTGCTTGCTTTGAAACTGCTCTTCATCTGATCTGCTAGAGCTATCAGGCGATGTTGAGATCACAGATGAGTCCAATTGCATATGATGTGGAGCTGTAGCAGTTCCTTGGAAGATTGTTCTGCGTGGAGCAGGAAAAGGAGTGCTATGTCCATCTTGTGACAAGTCTTCACCTGAGCTGCTGAAGCTATGAGTCGATGAGGTCACAAGAAAATCCAACTGCACAGGTAGTGTAGTTGGAGCAGTTCTTTGTTTGATAGTTCTGCGTTGGGCAGGAATCGGACATCTACTATATCCACCTTGTGACGGCTCTTCATCTGAGCTGCTGGAGCTTTGAGTCGATGATGAGGTCACAGGGGAAACTAATTGCACAGGTTGTATAGCTGGAGCAGTTCCACTCAAGATAGTTCTGCGCAGGGTAGGAATTGGAATTCTGCTATGTTCACCTTGTGAAGGCTCTTTATCCAAGCTGCTGGAGCTCTGAATAGAATTGGAGCTGGTGAAGTTTCCATAAGTGAAGAAATCAGAAAAGGATGAATTTCTTTTAAAGTCTTTCAGGGCTGAGACAGGAAGTGTGTGCGTCATATTCACAGAGCCACGAGGAAATGGGCTTGTATATTTAGCACTAAGAGAAGATATTCCTTGCACAGCACGCTTAGAAGTATNCCCCCCAAACAAACCTCTATAGTTGCGCCCAGGATGAGAGGGATCATTAATTGTAACACAATACATCAATGTTAACTAAGCTGTATAACATATAATATAATACAATAACAAGATAAACATGGATCTATCAAAACAAGATCAACATGGATCTATCGAAACAAGATCAACATGGATCTATAGAAACAAGATCAACATGGATCTATTAAAACAAGATCAACATGTATGTTTCGAAACAAGATCAACATAGATCTATCGAAACAAGATAAATATGGATCAAAAAAGATCATAATCAACATGGATTCATCAAAACAAGATCAACATGGATCCATTATTACAAAATCAACATGGATCCATGAAAACATGATCAACATGGTTTGTCAACTGAATAACCAAATTAAACCGATTTTATGTACATAGTTTATAGCTCAAACGATGATATCTAGATTATTAAATCTATAGATTGAAAACTCCAATCCTTGTTTTTTTCTCCATGAAGAAACTAATTGGCTGGTTTAAACCATTGGTTGAACCTCTAGCCTGTAATCTAGGCTGGTTAATATCTGATTCGTCTTCAATAATATTCAATTTTATTTTTCAAAATATAATTAGGAGCGAAACACAAGCTGAGGGGGGGGGGGGTGTAACCGCTGCATCAGCCTAAAAAAGGCAGGAAAACTGTCCTATAATGTTGCAAGCTGTTACAAACAGTTATAAACTATTTAACTTCTAGACACGTTACGAACTATTACGAACTGTTACGAACTGTTACGAACTATTACGAACATTTACGAACTGTTAAAACAAACATTTACGAATTCTGTTATGCGCATTGAGCATGAGAAGACTGAGAATTGAGACACATGAAGGAAATAAAAACATTATGGAATGTTGAAAAGTTGAAACTGGTTCTTTATGGTTCATCTCTCGTCAGTATAATCCCTAATTAGTTTACAGCTGATTGTAAACCTAAGAAAAGGTTTAAGAAGGGTAGAGTAGAGGTTTACGATAAACCTTTATTATGGGAACATCATCTGCTCGTGGGAACTAGACCCCCCTGAAGAGGGGGGGGGGCAATATTGATTTTATTACAACCTACAAGAAAAGTCTGGATTAGAAAGGTGATACAACGTCTAAAATGATTTGAATTTAAAATATGGAATTGAAAAAATAATGAATTATTAAATGAATGAATAATTTCTATTGATAGATTTTGTCAGGAAATTCCAACTTCTTAAAATACAATCCTTCAAAATCTGTCTTTACAGACCTTTCTTCATTCTATCCTGATCAGGGCTGACAAGATGATATTTAACAAAGATTGATAACCCGTCCAATACCCCCTCCCACCTGTCAATCAAATCTATACTCTGGATTTCAAACAAACTTCGCAATTTTTTCACAAATCCGCGATATTTGACAAATGTCAATTTTTAAGTAAAAAGGTTTTGATTGTTGAAAAAAACATCAAGTAAAAATGAAAGAAGAACACATTTTCAAAAAGATATTCTTTAAAATCAAGAATATTTAGATCGAAAGGTTCTACTTTTACTTAATTCCGTGCGAAGTAAATGTTCTATATACTGTTTAGTTTGTTATTTATTTAATATATGCGGCGATAAAATAATCTTTTTAGTTTTTTTGACTTTTCAATATCAGAATATTGGCTTAAATATTTGATATGCAATCTGTAAAAACATTATAGAAAAATGAAAGTAGAGGGTANGGGGGTAGTAATCCAAACGTTATCATTAATTGCAGTGATACTAACACCAAAATCTAATAAATATTGTACTACGCAACGCGTGCAGGTTTTTAAAACAGATCTTTACGTTGTTCACGTCAGAAAGAGATTATGGACCAAAATTGGGAAAACTTTTAGTGCTTTTTTTAAATTGTGAAACATAAGATAAGTACTTTTAAATGGTCGGATTAAATTATCTTCTCTTGGAAAGATTAATCCTCTTTTCTTGATAAAATCCGAAGTTTTGAATTATTGAATGATCGGATTATTTTTCCACTAGAATAAATGAGTTTAACTGAATAGTACAGTTAAAAGTTTTCAACTAAAAAGAAATTGTCTCCAGTAGCTGTTCTCTGAGTTACTTTCTTCCTTGGTTATATAAAATATACATATAGAACTTACTGGTTTCACTTCTTTTCATCTCTACAATGTTAAATGCTTCTTCACCAAAACATGATTATATTAATTTTTATGTATTTTATTAAGAATAACACAACTTTTTGAAAATTCCTTTCTAGAAGTTTTTATCTTAACCTTAGATCCATATCTACAGGGTGGTCTAGGCGGCATCCCTTAACCAGACAAATTGTTGACAGTAAATAATTTGCATAATTGTGCCCCCCCTGTCCCTCCTACCATGTAACCCCCCCCCCTTCTCCCTGGGTAGCACCACACCAGGGGGAATAGTTTTAAGAATGCCCACGGTGGTGTTCTGCACCTTGTAGTGATAGAAATCTTCCCTTCCATTGAATTCCCCTGTTTTGTTCTGGAGTTTATTACTAGTAGGAAAAGTAGTTTACATGTGCCTCAAAGTTTGATAAGGGAACTCGTTAGAACAACAGAATTTTCTTAGATTGGTTAAAAAATTTAAGATAAGTGGGGCGACTTTAATATGGAAATTTTGACGCAGGTGGCTAAGTGAAATCGAGAGCAGAGACACCTAGTGGCCAAAAATTGTTCTTTAACATATGTTTTAAGTACATCGTTTAAAAAAGAAATAAAGAATATTATGAAATATCAACTCTATATGAATGCCTCGAATTAAATTCGACGTTTATAGGTTGCAATATCTTAATAATTAATTTTTAATTTATCTGAATTATTTACGATCAGAGTTGAATAATGCAACTGGGTGGATTTGTATTGGTCTCACACTCTTGGATATAAGACGTTTTTAACCAATTTTTTTCCTCATATAGGCAACGGATAAAAGTAAATTTAGTAGCGATTAATGTCGAATTTAATTCAATATTAGCATATACCCACTTTCATTTTTCACGAACCTGCCTTTATCTTAGTTGGGCCAGAATCATTTAAAAGCTCACTTTTAAAAATGTTCCACTAAGTTCTGGCTCCTTGAACCAGGCTAGGTAACCAGACTCTAATTCTACGGTATGGGTTGAGTCGGCTAATTGAAAGCCACCACACTGGAGTGGGTGGAGGTTTAGCGCCGTGTAGTGAGCTGGGGCTAGGAACCAACCCTCAAGCTCTAATAATTAATTTTGGTCAAGGGGGGGGGGCGGGACCACCCTAGTTGTTTTGTTTACTGGAACCTACTGTATTATTAGTATACTGTGAGGATGGGTAACTAACAAGTTGCAATTGGAAAATGTTCTAAACGAAAGCAAATTACACATTTGAAATTCTGAGAAAATAATGAAAATGTAATTGTAAAAATATGGACTAAAAAACAAAGAAATTAAGTCTTTGTCACAAACTCAATTCTATACTAAGATATTTCAAACTTAGATTATTTGATCTAACAGAACCCTTCGTTTGAAATATCTAAGGTCTACGACAAATGTGTTGTTAAGATAAAGAAAATTAGAAAGAAAAAAAATATTATTATTGCTACAGTGAAACCCTTAATAACGAATACATCGAAAGAATACATCAAATGTCGTATTCTTCACTTTCTGATAATGGAATGTTGCAGATATTTAGTTTTTTAATTAAATGATTATATGGAACTCTTTAAAACTGTTCCCGCATATTCATGGCTATTTATTTATTTTCGCAAATACTGAAATTTACGTAATATAGTATAAAACTCATTGAAAAATTGTCAAGACGACATTTGATAAATTCTTCCGATTTATTCGTTATTAAGGGTTTCACTGTATTATTGTTATTTTAATCTTTACTAACATCTTTTTTATCATTTTATTATTTTTTACTCAATTATTATTTATCTTTTGATGAGAAAGGGTGTTAAAAAAATTACATTTCATTTATGTGCTTTTAACAACATACATATTAATGAAAATGATAGTTGTGACCTATGAAAGTCAATTTTTCTATAAATACTCTAATTCTTAATAAACCTTGTAAACCTTGGTAAACTTTTTTTAATGCATCCCTCTGTTGTCCACAACACATGTGAAAATCGTATTTATTATGTAATATACTAATATAATATAAATATATGTTAACGTTAAGTATTGCGAAAGCTTTTGATTTAGTTTGAAAAAAATAACCAATCTCGTTTGACCGTGTGAACCATGTCGTACAGACTAGATTTAGTTTATAGAGGATAATCATTTCTATACGTAAAAAACCTCTTTAATAAATCAGAATAATTCAGTGCATTCACTGGTAGAGAAAATACAGCTGTGCAATAAATTTGTACAATAATTTATTTCAGTGTAAAATAACATAAAACGACTTTGACCTTTCCAAGAGGGTTGGCGAGGTCGTCATTGCTCCTATACATCAACCTCTCAGGACGCAGAGAGATGAAGTATGAAGGGGGGGGGGAGGGGGAGAGAGGAAACGCCCACTCAGCCTCTACCGGAGATTCTGAATATTAATTCTGATTTACCAAGCAGCAGACTTTCGTCAACTGAGACCTAAATCTGGCTCAGAGCATACTGCAGTACAGTGTACAGTGCATACAGTACATGTTTATTTTCGTAATCAGGTTTCTGTATATTCATCCTTCTCCAGGGTTCTACTAATACAGGAAGGGGGCCAAAATATTTGGTTCAATTTCTTCTATGTATGTACAGCTTGTACAACAAACCATACGTTATTTAAATGTCGTTTAATTTGAATTCTATAACATAATTACAAAATATGTTTTTCATCAAAACCATATAAGAATTTAAAAAGCAAGAGAAAAAAATCGTAATTAAAAATTAAAAATATGAAAAAGTATATTATTATGTTCTAAATATTACACTAAACAGATTTAAAAACACGAAATATTTAACGCGTTACATTCAGAGGGGGGGGGGCGGATTTTTGAATTTATGAACCCCAAAAAATAATGGTTTAATTTAAATCGGTCTATAACTATCTAAATTTTGAATTCTGTAATTTCTTTGAACTTACATATTTAAGCGAAATTGATATCCAATAAGGTTCTTAAAAAGAATTATTTAACATTTGTAAATAATGTTCACATTCTTCTAATTCTTTTAAAGGGACTGTCGGCGTTACTTGAAGTGACCCTCCATTTACAGAGTGACATCCCCTATTCACAACGTTGTTTATTAAATCTGTTTTAAGTAACACTCACTATAATACTTAGGTCAGAGATAAGAGAGTTACAGAGATCGATAACACCTATAATATGCGATATTTTCCACGGCATGTTCTATTGTGTACAAGTACTGTACACGACCAATAAGAAGACATCTGTATTCAGGGATATTTAAGGATCCTTTGAATAGGAAATGCAAAATCTTTAAAAATAGACAGTATTCATAAAATATAGGCCTGCTCAGCCTATCCAGGGAGAGTGTATGAGCAGTCTGTGTAGTCTGTGAGTTAGGTTTAAACAAAACTAAAATTGTTTTTAGATTTTCAAAAATGAAATTTAGAAAAATTTTAAATTTTTGTCTGGTAATCTGTGTTATGTTTCTAGCAGGGCTATCCTACACCCTGGTTACTCCAATATTCCCAGCAGAGGTAGAATAACCCCTGTTTATAGAAATATTTTGTAAAAAAGAATATTATATGTTACTTTAGGTTAGATTCAAACAGAATATTAAATGTCAATATAGGTTGGATTTAAACAGAATATTAAATGTTACTTTAGGTTTGATTAAAACAGAATATTAAATGTCCATTTAGGTTAGATTTAAACAGAATATTAAATGTCAAAATAGGTTAGATTTAAACAGAATACTAAATGTCAATATATGTTAGATTTAAACAAGATATTAAATGTCAATATAGGTTAGATTTAAACAGAATATTAAATGTCAATATAGGTTAGATTTAAACAGAATACTAAATGTCAATATAGGTTTGATTTAAACAGAATATTAAATGTCAATTTATGTTAGATTTAAACAGAATATTAAATGTCAAAATGGGTTTGATTGAAACTGAACTTGAGAGGTCATGTTTGATTTCCAAATATTGTTTAGGCCTTGACTCGTGGAGTTTCCGTTTCAGAGTCTGGCATCGTTTTAGGTAAAATAGACCTGGCCGGTACGTCAAATCTATACTTTGCTTGTCTTCTGGTATGTTTGGGTATCTGCCTGTTTGTATCCAATAAACGTCAAAACGGCTGAAACGATCAGGCTCAATTTTGTGGGGGGCCTCACATGACCCCAGGGTAGATTTTTGGATTATCAATAGATCTATATTTTGAAAATCCACGAAAAATATTTTTATAAAGTCTGCGAACTTTTTTTTGATTTAAAATGTATACAAAGAGAAAATATTCACAACAATTAAATAGAACATGGGCGTGCAAAGCGCCCATAAAGGCCTATAGTTAAAGTAAACTTTTTAGATGAAAATCATACATTTTTTCGAAGGTAACTCCTATTTTTGACAAATTTATTTACGAAAAAATTTGATATATTTAAAATTAAATCAATATTATTTTGAATTTAAGGATCTGCATTTGTGACATCTCTATTCTGTATTCCCTTCTCCAGCAAATTGGTAACTTTGTAGACAAAAAGAAAAACTATAAATCTATCGGAAATAATATTTGGATTTAGGAACTTTACGTACAATTAACTTCAACAAAATTGCATCCTGTTTGAAAAGGCATAACTTTAATCTGACTTAATTTGATCCATAATTCAAAATTCGCTAGAAATAGTAAAAACGGTCATTTATACTAACATTAATATGACATAAAATAAATAAAATATCCAATATAAAAAATCTATATTAAAGGGATTAAAATTGGTTTTAAATTCAAGACTTACTGAACTTTTAACTAGGATCTCTAGTACCCCGTGGACCATATTTAACAAGGACCAATAGTTCACCGTGGACCATATTTAACAAGGACCTCTAGTTCACCGTGGAACATATTTAGCAAGGACCTCTAGTTCACCTTGGAACATATTTAACAAGGACCTCTAGTTCACCTTGGAACTTATTTAACAAGGACCTCTAGTTCACCTTGGAACATATTTAACAAGGACCTCTAATTCACTTGGGAACATATTTAACAAGGACCTCTAGTTCACCTTGGAACTTATTTAACAAGGACCTCTAGTAAACCTTGGAACATATTTAACAAGGACCTCTAGTTCACTTGGGAACATATTTAACAAGGACCTCTAGTTCACCTTGGAACTTATTTAACTAGGACCTCTAGTTCACCTTGGAACATATTTAACAAGGACCTCTAGTTCACCTTGGCACATATTTAACAAGGACCTCTAGTTCACCGTGGAACATATTTAGCAAGGACCTCTAGTTCACCGTGGAACATATTTAACAAGGATCTCTAGTTCACCTTGGAACATATTTAACAAGGACCTCTAGTTCACCTTGGAACATATTTAACAATATAATATATATAATATATATATTTATATAATTTACTTGCAAAAATTACTTTTATAATTCATTCGAAGAGGAAATTACTAATTTGTAAATATCAAAATCTTATTTGTTAAAATTATTAAACACTTTTTCTTATTTAGGTAGATGTATTTGGTGCAAAGTTTAGTTTCGCTATTGCAGGCATCTTGGCTGGTTTTTCAAATTTTTCATTTGGGTAATATTTAGAAATTGTGTAGAACATTTTTAGTAATTGCAGTAGAACATTTTTAGTAATTGCAGTAAAAGATTTTTAGTAATTGTGTAGAATACTATAGAAATTGTGAATTTTAGTAGTTGTGTAGAATTTTATCAATTGTGTAGAATATTTTTAGTAATTGTGTAGAACATTTTTACTAATTGCAGTAGAACATTTTTAGTAATTGCTGTAAAAGATTTTTAGTAATTGTGTAGAATACTATAGAAATTGTGAATTTTAGTAGTTGTGTAGAATTTTATCAATTGTGTAGAATATTTTTAGTAATTGTGTAGAACATTTTTACTAATTGCAGTAGAACATTTTTACTAATTGCAGTAGAATATTTTTAGTAATTGTGTAGAATACTAAAGAAATTGTGAAGAATACTTTTAGTAGTTGTGTAAAAAAATTTTATCAATTGTGTAGAACATTTTTACTAATTGCAGTAGAACATTTTTAAGTAATTGTGAAGAATATTTTGAGTAATTGTGTAAAATATTTTTAGTAATTGTGTAGAATATTTTAAGTAATTGTGTAGAATATTTTTAGTAATTGTGTAGAACATTTTTACTAATTGCAGAAGAACATTTTTACTAATTGCAGAAGAACATTTTTAGTAATTGTGTAGAATACTTTTAGTAGTTGTGTAGAACATCTTTACTAATTGCAGTAGAACATTTTTAAGTAATTGTGTAGAATGCTATAGAAATTGTGAAGAATATTTTTAGTAATTGTGTAGAACATTTTTAGTAATTGTGTAGAATATTTGTAGTAATTGCGTAGTATATTTTCAATAATTGTGTAAAACATTTTTAGTAATTGTGTAGAATATTTTTAGTAACAGTGTAGAACATTTTTAGCAATTGTGTAGAATATTTTAAGTAATTGTGTAGAATATTTTAAGTAATTGTGTAGAATATTTGTAGTATTTGTGTAGAATATTTGTAGTAATTGTGTAGAATATTTGTAGTAACAGTGTGGAATATTTGTAGTAATTGTGTAGAATATTTGTAGTATTTGTGTAGAATATTTGTAGTATTTGTGTAGAATATTTGTAGTAATTGTGTAGAATATTTGTAGTATTTGTCTAGAATATTTGTAGTAATTGTGTAGAATATTTGTAGTAATTGAGTAGAATATTTTCAATAATTGTGTAGAATATTTGTAGTATTTGTGTAGAATATTTGTAGTAATTGCGTAGAATATTTTCAATAATTGTGTAAACCATTTTTAGTAATTGTGTAGAATATTTGTAGTATTTGTGTAAAATATTTGTAGTAATTGTGTAGAATATTTGTGTAGTAATTGTGTAGAATATTTTCAATAATTGTGTAAAACATTTTTAGTAATTGTGTAGATTACAATTGTATACTAGGGAACAGAACAATTCTCTCCAAACACTGCTTTCTTGAATTTCAGATTTATTTCTAATTTACATCATCACACTTCATATTTCTTGATATCCTTGATTCTACGTGTTCTTTGTGCTACTGGAGAGTCATTAATTACAACAATAGCGTTCCCTTTAGGTTAGTTGAACACTCTTAGGCTTTTCAAACTATTTGCTTTGTAACAACATCAAATACACTTGATTATTGCTTTTATGTTGTCTTCTTATTAAACAGTTTTTTTGATTCTCATTGTAAATTGTTCAGGTAGTGCACAGTTTGATCAGAAGCATCAGGGCAAAGTTCTTGTAAGTTAACCAGACCAGACCAAACCAAACTAAACCATACCAAACCAAACCAAACCAAACCAAACCAAACCAAACTAAACCAGAAATTCATAACAAAATTAAACCAAACCAGATATTCATAACAAAATAAAACTAAACCAGATATTCATAGCAAAACAAAACTAAACCATATATTCATAACAAAAATAAACCAAACCAAATATTCATAACAAAAATAAACAAAACCAAATATTCATAACAAACCAAAACCAACCCAGATATTTACAACAAACCAAAACCAAACCAGATATTCATAACAGTAACAAAACAAAACAAAACCAGATATTCATAATAATAACAAACCAAAACAGAACCAGATATTCATAACAATATCTAAACAAAACAGAACCAGATATTCATAACAATAACAAAACAAAACAGAACCAGATATTTATAACAATATCTAGACAAAACAAAACCTGATATTCATAACAATAATAAACCAAAACAGAACCAGATATTCATAACAATATCTAAACAAAACAAAACCAGATATTCATAACAATATCTAAACAAAACAGAACCAGATATTCATAACAATAACAAAACAAAACAGATCCAGATATTCATAACAATATCTAAACAAAACAGAACCAGATATTCATAACAATATCTAAGCAAAACAAAACCAGATATTCATAACAATATCTGAACAAAACAGAACCAGATATTCATAACAATATCTAAACAAAACAGAACCAGATATTCATAACAATAACAAAACAAAACAGAACCAGATATTCTTAACAATAATTTAACAAAACAGAACCAGATATCCTAACAATAACAAAACAAAACAGAACCAGATATTCATAACAATATTTAAACAAAACAGAACCAGATATTCATATCAATAACAAAACAAAACAGAACCAGATATTCATAACAATATCTAAACAAAACAAAACCAGATATTCATAACAATAACAAAACAAAACAGAACCAGATATTCATAACAATAACAAAACAAAACAAAACCAGATATTCATAACAATAACAAAACAAAACAAACCCATTATCATTTTATATTATCTATTATTAGGCAATAGTTGAGTCCAGTTTTAGTGTGGGTATGGTGGCTGGTCCGTCTATAGGTGGAAGCTGTGTCCATATAATTCCATTTCTGAACCCAAATGGGATCAGGGTTGAAAGTATATTTAGGGGCATGAAAATTAACTTTCTGTGTCATTATTAACGTTAGCAAGTTTTTTTGTGTACGTCGTGAACTACACTTCAGAAATGTGTACTGCAATTGGATGTAAATATCAGTAATCAATATAAGAGATAAATTATAATATACAGGAAAATAAACACTCCCTTGCAGTAAACATTCTGCAGTATGGATTTTTTTCTACAACTCAACTTCATATTTCCAATTGTTTACAACAACATGGTTCATTTCTAACCCTAATATCAATCAATCAACATTTGGAATTGTATTAGATTTGATTATATGGACCCCTGTCTATAGGTGGACTACTCTACAATATTTGGGGATTCTCAATACCCTTCTGGACTACTGGAGGTTTAACAATAATATTGTCGGTATTAGGACTGATTCTAATGCAGCATAAAGATGAAATACACGAGGAAACATCAACGTTAGTAATTTTTAATAAAATTATAACATTTAAAAACACTGCAGAAGTAAACACTTTTTGAGTAAGAAAAACAACAATATCTTCCTCATTATAGATCCAGTAAAGGAATAAAATTATACTATTGTGAATTCTGCCTGCTCCACCTTAAATGCAAAGTGAATAAATACTAAAGTGGACCAAACTCATAGGTGGATGACGACATTTTATGTCCCAAGTATTTAGAAATATATATATATATATATATATATAAATTGGTCTGTATACGGAGTGTACAGTACAACAGAAACTGGACTCCCTTTGTTTACAAACACAGACTTAGAATTTGTATTTAACTTAAATATAAGTTAACGTAAATTAAGATTTCAGAAGTGAATTTTAGCCATTTTGCTGCACAGTAAATGATTTCAGACAACACAATAATGCCTGCAAGCATAATCTGTAAAACAAGGAATGCACAATTTGTGATACCGAAAAATGAAGATCTACGAAATATATCTCTTGGTCTCCACTTTTGTATTTTGACAGATTTAAGAGTGGTTAAGAACTATAAGACATAGTTTTAAAGATATAAGAGAGCAGTCGTTGAGAAATAGACATAGTTTTAAAGATATTAAGAGAGGCGTATTCAGGTTTTTTTTCCCAGGAAGGGCTTACAATTCTTCTTCTTTTTTGGGGGGGCGGGGGAGGCCCAAAATCCCCCGAAAAGAATATATTTCACTAGTCCGAAAAATGAAGATCTTCGAAATATATCTCTTGGTCTTCGCTTTTGTATTTTGACAGATTTAAGAGTGGTTGAGAACTAGACATAGTTTTAAAGATATTAAGGGCTTACATTTCTTTTTCTTTTTGGGAGGGGGGAGGCCGACCCCCCCCCACTGATCCAGGAGGGGGATGAGCCACCATAGCCCCCCCTGAATACGCCTCTGGATGATAACATAGATCTGTTTTAAGAAATTTACAAACATATTTCAAAATGGAGGGAGATTTGAAACAAAACTATAATCAGTTTTAAGGATAAATTCGTTTAGAATTAGAAGTGCCAGGGAAAATCAATGAATTGTTTAAGCGACTAAATAGTATTTACATATAAACTACAAAGAAACGTACAAAAATTTTTGATTTTAAATCGTGAAAATTTCGAAGTTCTATCTGAAGACGACATTTACATGGGTCTTTAGTCTATTTTTTCTAGTCTTTACTTTCCAAACGAAATCTTTTCATGAAATTATTTCCAAACCAAATAAAACCTTATGGCCCAACCTGTCGTCGTTTCCTTAGTCTGTTCCACTTTTGTATTTATTCACTTTGCCTTAAATGGAGGGTAACCAAAATTACAATGACACTCACTTATATCACTTTCACGTTATAAAGCATTAAATCATGATAAAAGATAAAAGACGACATTATCGCTATCAATTCCAAAGTTTAAAGATTTGTTTTATCAAGGTTGAAGAGAACAACATACAAGGAGATTCTAGGTAAAGATGGGCATCGTGTTTTTGAACGGAAAAAATTTTTCGTGAAAAAGGGCGTCGTTCAGAAAAACAGGAATGGACGAACGAAATGGTTTGTTCTGGGAAACTATCGTTATTTTAGTAAACCAGCGAATTTTCTAAAAGTTTTGGGGGTAAAATCTTCTTTTTACGGAACGAGTAATTTTAGAACAAACTCTTAAAAAATGATAGTTTTTGCTAAACGAACGATTATTTTCGAACAAAATTTAGAAAAAAACACAGTTTTTTACTGATCGATCATTCAGTGAGAAAACGAACGAAATATGTGGAAAATGAACAAAAACTTTGAGAACGAAAGAATTAACTTTTTTTTGAACAATTGAAAAATAACGAAATTGGTCGTTAAAACCAACGATGAAAAAACGAAATAAAAAAATGTTGAACGTGCTCATCTCTAATTCTAGGCTGCCCAAGTATGCTTTCAAGTGTTTTTGTTTATCTGCTAACTGGGAACTCTTTCTCATTATATTCGGCTTCAATGGAACCTTATCTAATGAAAAGGGTAATAAGCATAGATTTATTAACAACTAGCTGGAGGGCCCAGCGTTGCCCGTGATTATTTTTTTTTTAAATTTCGAATTTTTTTAGTCTATATATTCGGCCGGCTATATGCAACATATATATATATACGAATGTCTTGATTTATTATATAGATAGAAGATAGATCACTGGATGTCATCACTCATCTTACCTAGATTTAGGGGTTTTCGTTCACACTAACCTTGAGGCAGAAGGCTCTCTCTCTGTCTTGTAATTCAACGCGGCATGTGCGTAACTCCTTTGGGCCTCTGCCTCAGGGTTATTGTGAACGAAAACCCCCTAAATCTGGAAAAGACGAGATCTAGTGTTTAACTGTATTGTTATTAATCTATAGTAATAAAAGTTTTACACCATAAGCTGTCCTTGCCACAGTGTTGGGTATTTTACATCATGCATCACACATGCAGGGATAGGATAGGATAAGGTTATCATTGTGGCCTGCGGGGGATTTTGTAAATTTTGTACATTATAATGTTCTGATCTTTAAGTTTGTTAAATCCACATTTTCCTGATTAAGAACCTTTGACTGATCAAGGTTATCAGATCAAATTCTTTTTAATCTACAAAAACGCTGGTTGTAGCTAAACACTGTTGTAGCAAACTAATTTGTAGGAAAGAAAAAAGATAAATAATAAAGTTAGTACTTTTGAATTTTTGAACTTTTACCACTTTGAACATGAACTAATGTTTATTTACAAAGTACAAGAGTATCATCAACTGAGTTGAGTTCACGCTGTACGCTAGCGTACACTTAGTATTTGAGAATGATATTTGGGAGATACAGGGTGTCCCACGAAATATGACAGTATGCAAGAGGACTTGAATGTCGTCTTGATTTTTGATATAATTTGCTGTGTTTATTTGTCAACCTAATTTTAGAAGTAAATTTCTAGAAATAATAATCAAAAAAATTCCCCTGGTCCTGCCATTTCCAAAATGTGGTCTGCCTTTTTTGTGCTTTCAATGTTGCCCGAGATATGAAGAATTTCGTTCAGATTTCGACAATTTTGCTTTTATTTAACAAAATTGAAATTTGAACCAAACTCTTTATATCCCCAGTAATATTGAAAGCACAAAAAACGCAGACCACTTTTTGGAAATGCCAGGGCTAGGAGAATTATGTGATAATTGTTTCAAGAATCATACATGTTAAAGTAGATAGAAGACTAAATGTCACAAATAAATTCATATATCAAAGACGACTTTCAAGTCGTCTTGCTATTGTCATGTTTCGTGGGACACCCTGTATAAATATGGATTTCAGTGTCCTCGATGAGCTGTCGAAGGTCTAAAGGGAACTGTTGTAAATCTGACCTTTTATCTTTGCAATGAGGGTCACTTTAAATACGCTTACAGTCCCTTTAAATACGCTTACAGTCCTTTTGAATACGCTTACAGTCCCGTTAAATACGCTTACAGTCCCTTTAAATATGATTTCAATTATAAAGTTTGGACTGAATCCTGGAGAGATTGGTCTCCTGCTAATGGGGTATTCACTCTCCAACGCTATCATCAGTCCAGTTATTGGGATACTTATGGACTATGGACTTACACCACTAAAGGGAATCCTTTTTGGTAAGATTTAATCAATAGATTAAAAAATACAGACAGAACAATAGATGTCGTCATTTCAAGATTCAAGGGGTTTTCGTTCACAATATCCCTGGGGCAGAAGCCAATAGGAGTTCCGCGCAGACAGCGTTGAATTACAAGACAGAGACGAGCGCATGTGCGTAACTCCTTTGGACCTCAGGGTAAGTGTGAACAAAACATTCCTAAATCTTGAAAAGACGACATCTAGTGTTCAGTCTAAGTTGTTATTAATCTATGTTTAAATTATTTAATCACGTTTATTTAACAGGGAACACTTTGATTGTGACAGCATTACTAGTATTAGGTACTGAATAATTAAACTGAAATGAAAACAATAATAATTATTTCTTGATGCAGGTATTAATGGTTCTGTTCCTATGTTTGGCGAGTCTGCCTCTGTGGCCCTCACATCAATTGCTCTTCTAGTACAAGGTCAAATGTTAACGTTGTAATATTTTTTCCTAATTTTGTCCTGTAAATTTCCGTTTTGATTATTTCTATGGAGCTATAGGAAGCCATCCATGCCCATTGGGAAACCGTCGTTTTTGAGAACCTTTGAAAAATAAAAATAAGAACTGAGGTTTAGATTTAGCTGGATTAAGACGGGGTCAAAAAATTGGTTTTAGGTAATTTCCCAAGGGAGACTTCCCAATTGTGTAATTTTCCTAGCGGCAACTTCCCAAAGTTTAGGTTAGGCTTTCTGAGGCGACGCAGGCTAAAATTGTGGCCGAGAGCTGCGGTTAGAAAAATCTATAAGCCGAGCTCCGCGGTTAGAACAGACTTGGAAAGTTTCCACTTGGGATAATACCATTGGAAAGTTACCGCTTGGGATAATACCATTGGGAAGTTACCAATTGGAAACAACCTTTGACAAAGTATCTAACATCATTAATAGTTTTAATTAACCAACTTTTAAACTACAGGGTCTGGAACAGCGTTTATAACTATTGGATCTATGATACAATTGCTTGGATGTGTTACAAAGGCTGGGGTTGCAAATACAGACCATACAAAGGTAAAAGTTGCCACCATAGATTAGTAACAACACGGACAGAACACTAGATGTCGTATTTTAAAGATTTAGGGGTTTTTCCGTTCACAATAACCCTGAGGCAGAAGCCCAAAGGAGATGCATGCCGCGTTAAATGATGAGACAGAGCATGTGCGTAACTTCTTTGGGCTTCTGCCTAAGGTTTATTGTGAGCGAAAACCCCCTAATTATTGAATAGACGACATCTGTATTGTTATTAATCTATGGGTGTAAACTACGTACAGGGTAACCCAACAAGGATGATAACTTAATGACAGCGTGAGACAAAGATTAACAATATTTTTGTTTATATTGTATTCTTAAAGTCTGAATAAAGACGTCTTTAATGTCTCACATTTGTTCAAATAAAAATTCACTAGAGAGGGGTTGTATCATTGTATAGCTATAGTATAAATTAGATGTTTATTGTAATGCAGAAACTTTGTAGAAATTATCTAAATCAAACATTTTAAATCTAGAAATACGAGGATATTTTTTCCGCAATATTGATCAGATCAAGGTTTTAACGGTATCAATATAAACCTGGTGTGACTGTGCTCCTCTTTAAATGGAGGATTATTAAAAATTAAAAGTAAACCCCCTTTTTAATGCCAATGAAAAAAATACCTATAAAAATTGTCCCATGACACTTGGACAGTTGGGGAGCAGTTTTGAATGTCTTATTTCAATATATAGGAGAACATTGTTAAACCTTTTAGCAGTTTATATCTTCAAGTAAATCTTTTCCTAAAACATATTTTGCTTTGATATCAATTTTACTACGATGGTAGGCGATTATTTCAATATAATGAAGACGACTTTCGATGTCAATCTTGATTTACATCAAGATTTTAAACAGCAAGGATACACAAAAACATGGAAACAAAGAAAAGCTGTCAATTAAAACAGCTTCTTTTTATTTATTTGTAAACTTTTAATTTAAAAAGCTTGTTAACAATTAAAATTTAAATAAAAAAGTCGTCTTCATTGTGTTGATAAAATCGCCTACCACCCTATATTATGACTGCCATATTTTTTCTTTATTATCAAACCTAACAAATTATGCAAGAAGACATTCAAAACTGTTCACCACTTGTCACGTTCCGTGAGACACCCTGCAAATCAAATTTGTTAACAATTAATGAATTATTTATACAGAGTATGGTGAGCAGTATATGGTTGATGTGCTGGTGTCTCAGTGGATTTATATTTACAACATCTGGAAGTTATGCTTACGATGTATTAGGATTTCCTTGGACCTGTATACTTCAAGCAGTTATACTATGCATACCGGTATCTAGTTATAAGAAGTGATGGAACACATCCTGTTATCTATATATAATTAGTAATGGAACATACAGGGTGTTCCACGAAAATTTACAGTATCGAGACGACTTTGAAGGTCGTCTTTGACATTTGAAATATTTACAGCATTTATTTATAAACCAAACTTTAGAAGAAAATTTCTAGAGTCAAGGAGCTTTTTTTTTGTAAAGCAAGAATGTATAAAAAATGTTTAAGGTAGAGTTTTATACAGGGTGTCCCGCGAAACATGACAGAAGCAAGATGATTTGTAAGTCGTCTCTGATTTTGAATTTATTGATGACATTCAGTCTTCAACCTTCTGTCACATCATCACATGTATGATTCTTGAAACAATAACCAAAAAAAACCTAGTCTTGGTTTTCCCAAAATGGCGTCTGCCTTTTTTTGCGTTCTCTCTATACCATGGAATATGATTAATTTTGTCAGGATTTCGATAATTTTGGTTTTATTTAATAAAATTGAAATCTGAACGAATTTCTCAATATCTCTGGTAATTATGACAGCCCAGAAAAGGTATGTTTGCTTTACAAAACTCTGCTAATCATCTCAACTTTTAGAACTTTTTTGAACTACACGATTAGTAGTTTGTTCGTAGTCCATAAAATTATATTTAATAATATACAAAGTTCTCACAAAGAATGAGACTTCAATGACGACCTAAAACGTTTTATTTTATCGTTCTATTTGGTCAAAAACGCAGTCTTTTTATAATATTATGATATTGATTTTGGGAGGAATTAAATAAGTTTACTGTTGGAAGAAATCAAGAAATCAAGAAAAATGCTAATAAATTTCGTTAATTAAAAATTTTGTATCTTAGCTTTGGTTTAAATTGAAAAATCGACTCCCTAAAGAAAGAGCCTCAGTGTAAGAAAGTTTAATATTCTAATATTTAGTTATGTTGGATGTTGTTCAAACTTCTTAGTTCTAATACAGACAAACAAATAATCTTCACAAAGGTAAAAATCTCATCAATTAAAAACACTGGAAAAGAATGTTTAAAGGGTCACTCTCAGATGAAGAGATTATGCTAACAACAAAAAACACAACAAGTGCCTTAAATACAACTTAAAAAATCTGTACACTTGTCTCATTCTTTGAAAGATGACCCTGTCTTGGCATTCTTAAATCTCATAAGGCTTGTTCTAATTTATAGTTGGATGACAGCAGTGATAGTGAAGAACTAGCTATTTACGAGAAAAATTGTATCATGGCAGAACTAAAATAATTAATCATATTAAGTCTTAAAATCATCGTAAAAAAATGTTATAAATTTGGATATCGACAAATTAAAATTGCAACAATAAAATTTATGTAAATAAACAAATTTTTAAAGCTTGATGAGTAAGATATGATCCGAGATTGAACAAATGTAATAAATATGAAGGCAGCAATTATAAACCTCCTGCATAATTAGCCTGCAGAAGGATGGTGTATCTTTTGACCTACACAAATCCGCTATACTCCACATCTGACTTACACCAAATCCAAATCCATTATGAATCAAGTCTCAATCTTGACACTAGTCTTAACCTGAACCCAAGTAAGCTGCCAAAGTATGCCGTCATAAGAGAAAATGCGGTACGGCTTTCAATCGACAGATATGAAGCGGAGAACATCCATCCCCCCCTCCCACTGCACTGACCGGCAAACTGTCGTTTTAGCAGCAGCCTCACTGCTAATCAAGATTAATGAAGTTAATTAAATGCATATTAAATCTTGCCATTGTTCATATTATAATATTTTTTTGAATGAGACAAACACAATTTTAAATTCAAACACGATGCCAAATAAAAAAAAAAAAATACAATATATGACTGAATTATGAAATCATTATTAATTTAATAGCAACTTAATTATTACATCTTTGGTGACTGGTGAGTTACATTTATTTCGCATTATGTTAATAATAGTCAAGATTGTATAATAAGGTTGGTTACTCTCTATGCGCTCAAATTTACGGAACATGTCGTCTTCTAAGATAGATAGATAAAAACCTCAGATTACAGAGGCGAGAGTGACATCAGATGAGGTTTTTATATCTTTCTTAGGAGACGACATTTTCCGTATATCGGAGCGCATAAAGAGTAAACAATCTTATTAATAGCCTTGATAATTGTTGAACTAATCTAAATCTTCTGTTTGAGATTCCAGAAACTTGGTGTATTCATCTTTATTCATTAAATTCTTGAAATCTGAACTATCTGCTACTGATAATCTGAACAAATGAAACTGTTCAACATGAAAACTAACTAATTCATATATGGGATATATGGGACGTTATATGTATGATATTCTGAACAAATAAAATGAAAACTAACTAATTCATATATGGGATATATGGGACGTTATATGTATGATATTCTGAACAAATAAAAATGTTCAACATGATAACTAACTAATTCATATATGGGATATATGGGACGTTATATGTATGATATTCTGAACAAATAAAACTGTTCAACATGAAAACTAACTAATTCATATATGGGATATATGGGACGTTATATGTATGATATTCTGAACAAACAAAACTGTTCAACATGAAAACGTACTAATATAAGGGATATACATGGGAAGTTATATATATGATAATCTGATCAAATAAAAATGTTCAACATGAAAACGTACTAGTATAAGGGATATATGGGAAGTTATATGTATGTTTCCGCGGTGTATTTGCTGAAATGAGAAAATAAATGAGTTTCAGTGTAAAACGTGTAATAAATATGTTTTAATGTCAAATAAAATCGTTTTTTAAAGTTTTTTAATTCAACAGTTTTATTTCCTGAATAACCATCCTTTCTCCTCAGGGGATGTATTTATTAAACTTGGTTTATCTTCTACACTTTCGTTCTAAAATAGAAAAAAATTTACATAAAGAAGGGAGGAATAAGTTAAGAACATTCCAATCATAGACATTTGTTCAAACACACTAATTTTACTAAAAAAAATGTAATGCATTTGGGCATTAGTGCAAATTAACAATAAAAATTCCATCATTGAAATTTGTTCAAACGCACTAACTTTTCAAATTGATTTTTATAGCATTTAAACGTTAGTGCAAATGGACAGTTTCTTCAATTAAATTTGCTCCTTTGCACTCAATTGAACGAATTTATGGGGAAATGTGGAAATTTCGAATTTTAGTTAGATTTAACATTTTAGTTCATTTCAATTTGAAATTTTAGTTCGAATAAACATTTTTTGTTTTGAAGAACTGGAAAATATGTGTCCGCCATTATTTTAAAAGGAAAATTATTATTAAATTATAATTAAATTCAACCTTTTCAAGAACTGTACCAGCCAAGGGAGAATATATTTCTGAGGCAGCTTTAACAGATTCTAAAAACACATCAGTTCATTTTTAAATATTAAATTATTTAACATTTACTTACATTTGAATCATATAAATCAAGAACCAGAAACTAAAAGCATAAAATGAAATGACCAGAAGTTGGATAAAAAAGAACCGAAAGTGAAAGGTAAAATATATAAGAACCGGAAGCTCAAGATCAGAAATATAAGAACCGGAAGCTTAAGGTATGAAAAGAAAGAACTGAAAGGGAAAGGTAAACTATATAAGAACTGGAAGCTAAAGATCAGAAATGAAAGAACCAGAAGGTAAAGGAAAGAAATGAAAGAACCGGAAGCTGAAGGTAAGAAATGAAAGAACCGGAAGGTAAAGGAAAGAAATGAAAGAACCGGAAGCTGAAGGTAAGAAATTAAAGAACCGGAAACTAAAGGTAAGAAATGAAAGAACCGGAAGCAAAAGGTAAAAAAATATAAGAACCAGAAGCTAAAGTCAGAAATGAAAGAACCGGAAGCTAAAGGTAAGAAATTAAAGAATCGGAAACTAAAGATCAGAAATGAAAGAACCGGAAGCTGAAGGCAAGAAATGAAAGAACCGGAAGCTAAAGGTAAGAAATGAAAGAACCGGAAGCTAAAGGTAAGAAATGAAAGAACCGGAAGCTAAAGGTAAGAAATGAAAAAACCGGAAGCTAAAGGTAAGAAATAAAAGAACCGGAAGCTAAAGGTAAGAATTGAAAGAACCGGAAGCTTAATGAATATTAAAACTAATTTTAACCTAAAGCTCCACATTCTGTTTGAGTGTTAACATCTTGTCCTGGGTCGGGTAGAGATGCAAATACAACATCACCTTAACAAGTCGTCCTTGACTTTTGATAAAAGTATTTCTTAAAAAAGGTGATTCCTATTATTTACAATGTTTAAATAAACAACTATCAGAAGGATTTGATCCATTTTGATGAATATTTTTGCAAATAATGAAAATTTGTTAGAACAATTTACTCTTCTCACGATATTTTTTGTGGTTGCTAAATCTTGATTGCCCATGAGGAGATCAACAGAGTTTTACTGATCTCTTTTCAGTCATCGGTAACAAAACTTTTCTTTTTTACATTTTTTAGTAGAAATTTTACACCATGGCTCCGACTATTTGTGCAGATCCAGATTTATCGAACCAACATGTTGCGGATCCAAATCTTTAAATAAATAGTCCCGATATATCATCATTTATAATATATCATGATTAGAAATTATTATTATAAATACCAAGTGCATCTGCTGCATACTGACTGATTCCAACACTTACACTTTTATCTGTTTATTATTTAATTATTCAACTTTCATTATTTAAAAACGACAATTCTTTAAATCTTTATTTTTAGAGAGTAAACATTAAATTTTGTTATTTTAATGTTCATAAATACATTCCAATATTCCAAGTTAAAGTTTCCTTCACAAAATCATCTGTTTGTCCGTTTGATTTTAAAAAAATTTGCAAATAAAAACATAAGAAAGTAAATAATTTCCTTGATTTAATTCTGCCCATTCATGCTTCTCACTATACCTCTAGCCATCAAATATTTATATCCTCTAGTTGTCCAATACTTATATCTTTTCACCCTGATGTCGTAGACCTTAGATTTCAAACTTCAGCAAGCTTCATTAGTCAAAGTAGGAAACATTAACATATTAACAACAGTAATAATAATAATAATAATAATAATATACGTAGCATTATACGATTATTTGGCTTTTGTGAAAAATTTCATTTTGTACATCAATTTTTAAATTTATATATTTATATCTGTCTGTCTGCCAAAACGGCTGAACCGATCTGGCACAAATTTTGTGTGGGACCTCACATGACCTAGAGGATGGATGATCAAACTTTGATTTATATTTAATTTTGAAATGAAAATTCCCATTTTTTTTTTGATAAAATCCGCGATCATTTTTTTTTATTGTTTAACAATGTACATTGTATACAAAGAAAAAATGTTCAAAATTGAAATAAATAATTGAAATCCTAGTTTGTAATATTTAGGATGTTAATCAAGTTTTAATTATTTTTATTGAATTTTAAATATTCTGTTCCTTCTCCAGCCGAAGCATTGAAGTATGTATTAGTCTGGTCTCCTCAAAATACTTGGTCCTAAATTAGTTTATAATTGAAAAAAAATAGTTGCGTTCAAAGAAATGCGAAAATTAAAAAAGATGTTGCTAAATAAGATTTAAGATCTTAATTAATATCTTAAACACATAGTAAAGATTTAAATTGAGTAGGTGAGGTATAAAGAAGTAAAGATTATCAAGAACATGTAAATTGTACAATGTACGTGGTGTCCCACAAACATGATAATAGAAAGACTACTTCAAAGTCGTCTTTGATCGTTTACTAAATTTTAGACATTCAGACGTCAACCTTCTTTCACATGTATGAACTGTCAGTTAATGTCACTTCGGTCCTACAGCATTTCCGTCCTACAGTACTTCCGTCCTACGGTACTTCAAACCTTCTGCAACATCGGACTAGGACAGCTGTAGGTCGGATGCACATTCTATTTTGTTAATCCGACCTACGCAGGAACTGCAAATCTTGTCAATATGTCGTTGACATTGCTACCATTATAAGGATCGCTGTTCCGGTTGCACACAAATTTGTAGGTCGGATGCACACTCAGATGCATAAGTTTTGTAGGTAGGATGCACAACTTTTGTAGGTCGGATGCACATATTTCGTAGGTCGGATGCACAGTTTTGTAAGTCGGATGAACACTTTTTGTAAATTGGATACACAACTTTTATAGGTCAGATGAACATATTTTTGTTGCACACGTTTTTTAGGTCAGATGTTAGTTTAGGTTAAGTATTGGTCAAGCGCTGCGGCTGGGACTTGGCTAGGGGGCCGAGCGCAGCGGCCACATTCTCAAACTGACAACAAGGTTAGGTTAGGCTAAGACAATTTCTGAGCTGAGCGTACGACTAGGACAGGCTAGGGGGGCGAGCACTCCGGCCACATTTATAAAATTGATAAAGTGTCCCACGAAACATGACAGTTGGTGAATAGTATTCTTCCATGATACTGTAGCAGTTATTTTAGACTTTTTGCAGTTTATTTCGTTAAACAAATCTTTTACTCAAATGTATATTTGTTTAAAATCTATTTTACTATAATAATACTGCCATTTAGTATTTCTTATCATCATCTTTGGTATCAAACAACTCAACAAATTATGGAAGTAGACATTTTAAACTTTTCACCAACTCTCATGTTTCGTGGGACACACTGTATGTTAATGGGGCACCCAGTATTAAACTAAATATTTTTTTTTTACAATAATAAACCTTGAAGAGACTGATAATGTTTAAAGGGTAAAATCAAAAATAAGATTTTAGATTTATAAAGAATTCAACAAAATAAACATACTACATATCCCTCACTATTATTTATGACTTGTCCTAAACCCACTTTTTAAAGAAAACAAGACTAAAATTCGTAATTGTTCTCAAATAACTTGACGCCTAAACTAAATATACTGAAAAAATGTCAGAAATAGTTGAGTCTGTTAAACTAATTCTTCAGAACGGAACGAAAGGAGAGTTAACACAATCTTGAATATCTAAAACCGAAAAAAAAAACAATTATTCAGATTCTATCATAACATTTTTTTCTCTTATTCTTTTAATTTCAAGACCCAATTATTTACTGTTTGAACATTATTTTCGTTATGAAAAGTAGAAGAAAAGTACCAAAATTTATTACTTTTTGCTTATTCTTCCGATCGACAAATTATACCTATACATCAAAAATAAAATATTATTTTTCTCCTGTTTTTACCTTAAAGTTTTCTGCAGAACACCTAATATTCTCGGAACCCTCATCATTTTTCAAATAATGTCTGTAATATTATCAATAAACTAATTAAATAGCATAAAACAGATCAAGATAATTTTATCCTTTATTCCCGATGAATTGTAAATTTGATTACATCACTGCTTAATATTATTTCTCAACAATTGATTTTAAAAAACGTTCATCACAGAAAAGACTATTCAACAACATAAAAAATTATTAAACAATTAACATGCTAATGAAAAACTTCTTTAATGGACATTTTCATCTTGGAAAGATTCCCAACTTTTGTAAACGAATCATATTTCAGAATTATTCCTTTGGAAACATTCCTCATTTTAGAAATAGTCTTCATTTAGAAATATTCTATATTTTAGAATTATACTATATTTTAGAAACACATTCTATATTTTAGAAATATTCTATATTTAAAAAATATTTTCCATTTAAGAAATATTCCTTATTTTAGAATTATTTTATATTTTAGATAAATTCTTTCTTTTAGAAATATTCTTCATTATAGAAATATTCGCCATTAAAAAATATTCTTCACTAAAATATATACGCGTTGTTTTAGAAATACTGGTCATTTTAGTGTTATTGTTATACATATTTCTTCTTTTTTTAAATATTTCCCATTTTTGCATATTTCTTTGTTAAAGATTATTTCTTCGTTAAAAAATATTTCTTCATTTTAGAATCCCTTCTTAGCACTGCTCTTCTTCTTGCCCTTAGCTGGTCCCTTCTTTAGTAACCTAGGACCAGGAGCTGGTTCAGCCTGGGGACTCGCCTCAAACAATTAATTATTATTGGACGATTTATTGACCTTAACTTAACAACTACAGACTTTCGGAGATTAAGTAAAAGTGTATTGACTACAAATGCGTAGGATTTGTTCAATTATTACATGGATCCTGATTATTCGTCCGTCCTGCCAAGTTCCAGAAGAAGCTCATAGATGTTTTAGTAGTTAAAAGCAAAATATCAGAGTCTCCGACCCTTTCTCGTTGATCAAAGAAATATCAGGAGATTATCAGCAAAACTAGGATTATTCTTCTTTTCAAAACGAAAATATTTGCCATAATATTTTGATCCGGATCTGAGAAGCTTTCAAAGGAATTGAGTCTTTGCCACAAACTCTGATTTTCTAATCCCTATATCTTTGGAACCAAATATTGTAGACCTTAGATATTTCAAATTATGAATTATATTAGATTAAATAATCTTAGTTTGAGGTACCAGATTGCAAAGATATAGGGACTTAATTTGAGTTTGTGGCAAAGACTCAATTCCTTTGCAATAAAAAGTTGACAATCTTGAGGGGAAAATCATATGCGAAAATCTAACAATTTAGAGGGATATCTTGATAATCTTAGGGATAAATCTTCCAATTTAGAGGAATATCTGGACAATATAGGGAAAAATCTTCCAATTTAGAGGGATATCTTGATAATCTTAGGGAAAAATCTTTCAATTTAGAGGAATATCTGGACAATATAGGGAAAAATCTACCAATTTAGAGGGATATCTGAACAATTTAGGAAAAAAATCAATTAATCGAAAATCTGCTGACTTGAATCAAGACCTGGCCGACCAACCAAAAGCTGAGAGGAACCCTATTACCCGTTATTTACCTTGACTGGTTCCTTGGTTGCTCCAACCTTTGCGGAGTAATCAAAGTTATCACTCTGACCAGCAGCAGTCCCTGAACACAAGTTGATCAAGACAAAAATAAATAAAACTACTTTACGTTTTCATAAAATTTTCTATGAAGGCCATTTAAATTTTCTTCGGGGTCTTGAAATATGAATTTCAATAAAAATTTATCTTTCAGATTTTCAATATTAAACAAAACAATCATTACATAAATAATCTTTTCTTTTATCAATGTCCAAATCAGAATAGCTGTTTTTATGAAAATATAAAGAATAAGTAATGTATGAGGGTCTGTCAAATCTGAAAACAAATTATTTGTTTAAAATCCAAACTCTTAAATGGTTTAATAACTTACCCTGAGCCCCTGTAAACTTCTCTCCTTTCCTCTTGTCCTTCCTTATCTTCCTTTGTCCTGGCAGATACTTCAGTCCTGTCCTCTCCTTCCTAAACAGATAAACATAAAGGGATTGATAAATACTTCAGCCCTGTCCTCTTCTTATTAACAGATAAACATGGGATTGATAAATACTTGAGTCCTGTTCTCTCCTTATTAACAGAAAAACATGGGATTGATAAATACTTCAGTCCTGTCCTCTCCTTCCTAAGCAGATAAACATAAAGGGATTGATAAATACTTCAGTCCTGTCCTCTCCATCCTAAACAGATAAACATAAAGGGATTGATAAATACTTCAGTCCTGTCCTCTCCTTCCTAAAACAGATAAACATAAAGGGATTGATAAATACTTAAATCCTGTTCTCTCCTTACTAACAGATAAACATGGGATTGATAAATACTTGAGTCCTGTCCTCTCCTTCCTAAAACAGATAACATAAATGGATTGATAAATACTTAAATCCTGTTCTCTCCTTATTAACAGATAAACATGGGATTGATAAATACTTGAGTCCTGTCCTCTCCTTCCTAAAACAGATAACATAAAGGGATTGATAAATACTTCAGTCCTGTTCTCTCCTTCCTTAACAGATAAACATAAAGGGATTGATAAATACTTGATCCTGTTCTCTCCTTCCTAAACAGATAAACATAAAGGGATTGATAAATACTTGAGTCCTGTTCTCCCTTCCTAAACAGATAAACATAAAGGGATTGACAAATACTTCAGAGAAAACCGTCAAATGTTTAAATTAAGTCATATTTTAAAAATAGACAATTAAAAAAAATTTTTTGAAAAAAGAATAAATATATCTACAATTAACTATTAGATACTACAATTTAATTTAATATTTGAAAATTTTTAAAAACCCATGTCTATGCAAAGGTTTCATACCTTTGCGCTGGAATTCTTATTGATAAATCGGCTTTTTCTTAGGCCACAGTTGTCTTTTAAAAGTAAGACTAATACCAATGAATAGCTAATGGGGTATTAAGTTTATCCTCAAATTACCCAAACAAGTAAACGGTCCCTTTAAAAATTAAAGACAGTACCTTGGAATCCAGCGCTCAGGGTCCGGAGTAACATTAGGATTGTAGTTCTATTCAAAAACATGGAATAAAATTAAATATAAGCACCCCGGACAAACTTCAGCTCAAAGCAATAAAGGAAAGGTCTTTCCAAAATGGAGAGCATGTGCTAAATTTAATTCATTAATTCATAATTTCCAAGCTCTGGTTTCAATTTAGTTAAGTTCTTATCAATTAGAAAATGAAAAAGAACAGTAGGTACCAAATACATCTGAATATTCTACATTTTATATTTTCAATTCCATCCCTTAGGAAGACGCTTCTTCTTCTTCTTGTTCTTCTTCTTAACAACTCCTTCCCCTTCGTCCTTTTTAGGAGTTCTGGGGGTAATAGGAGCCCGCTTCAGGTTCTTTCCTGCATATTTAAAAAAAATAGTTTAAGTAGCTTTAATCTATTTATTTAATTGTCAACATAATTCTACCCATTTCCATTTCTCTTAAAGGGACTGTAAACGTAATATCAAGTGACCCTCTAATTTTATAGTGGCATGTCCGATTCACACTGATACCCTTAAAAGCTTAGACTTTCTTTACATTATCTTATCTTAAAAATGATTATTTTCAGTTGTGGTTACCCAATAAAGTGACTTACCATTTCCACTTCAAAAACAACACATTTCACCATATACAAACTACGACTTATTTCACATTTTTGTTTATATAGGCTTATAGGGAACCATTGTTAAAATAGAAGCTCACTTGACATTACTACGTCAGTCCCTTTAATAATAACATAAATAACTACATTTGTTTTTCTAAGATAATTTTTTAATGATTTACCCATTGAGAATGCAGAGTCCTCAAGTGCTTGAATATCTATATTCAAGGTATCTTCATCAAAGGCAGGAAGTTTCTTAGCAGCCTGCATAGCCTGGAAAAAATCATAACATTTTGAAAAATAAACAAATAAATTTCAATCTTAAAAAGTGAATAAAGAGAAGAATAATAAGGATGGTGCATCTACTGATTTTGTAACTTTTGGACGGAAAGGAACAAATTAATATGAAATCAAAACTCCAAAAATTTAAGATGTTGGATTGATTCCCTGTGATCATTAACTTTTTTTTAATGTAGTGGGTACTAAACGTCAAATAAAAAAACGTCGACTGCTACAAAACATCAACTACAACAAAAAGTCAAATAAAAAAACGTCGATGACACAAAACGTGGACTGCTACAAAACGTCGATGATAAATACGTCGAATGCTACAAAATCCCGGAAATTAATCTTACACTTTAATTTAAAAGTTTACGGGATGGATATACAAGACTTCAGATCACTGACTAAGCGGTATCATAAAATCACCTTATTAAGATCAAACTTAGCGTAAGCCAGAACCAGCTGAGCTAGTGTTCTAAGATCAGATTTAACCTTCAGCATTTCTTCAAGAGACTTCGCAGCTACAGAAGCTTCTCCTGGGACAGATCAGGTTTAGGCAGTTCAAAATGTAAAATTATGATAGACTTAGTCCCTACGGTACCAGTACAAACGTCGGACGTTACAAAGGTCGGACAGTACAAACGTCGGACTTACAAACTTCGGAGTGGTACATACATCGGACTGGTACAAACGTCAGACTAGGACAAATGTCGGACAGGTACATTTATAAAGGAAAACCTCTGACTTTGGTTGAATTTAAAAAAAGACCATTGCTTTAAGAAATAAATTAAGTCGCTCACTTAATATATATATATATATAAATGTTAATAACATTAGGTTGCAAAGATATCGGGATGAGAATATTTGAGTTAGTGGCAAGAACTCAGTTCCTTTGGGTAGATTTTAATTAGAACACTCGATATAAGAAATGGGGGTTTGAAAAGAAATCTAAAAATTCAAAAAATCTTTTTTTCTTTTTCCGACGTTTGAACTGGTCCGACGTTTGTACTAGTCCAACGTTTGTCCTGGTCCGACGTTTGTACTGTCCAACCTTTGTAAGTCTTAGGTTTGTGGGTCCGACGTTTGTGGGTCCGATGTTTGTACTGGTAACGTCCCCACCATTCCAACTTCAAGATGCGGCGTGGTGCATGAGGACATCTCCCCCTAAAGTCTTGACCATTTCAACACAATGTCAGACATAAACAGCAATGTTAACAGATTAAAAATCATTAGTTAACATAAAGGCAGGGTTTTTTCATCCTTTTCGATAACGTTTACCTTCACCCCCCCCCCCCCCCCCCCCCCCCCCCGCCCATAAGATCCTATATTTTCCCAAATTCGTACAAATAAAACATTCCAAAAATCGGAAAATAAAATTATTTTCAAAGTGGGGGAATGAATTTTCAAGAAAATATACATCCCTCCTCCCCTCCTCGTCCTCGCAGATGAGAAAGATGTCTTCACAGGATTTTCTTCCGTAATCACAAAAAAATACGCTGTACCCGTCCCACACTGACAGTTAAACAAAATTATAATCTTTATTAATGATTAAAAAACCTGATTTCAGATGAAACTCAGCAGTTTTTCTCCAAACAATCGACATCTCCTTAGTGTTGGAAACTTTTCTGAACAGAAAACAATTGTATCAAACCATATCATGTTTCAATGCAACCATATCTCATCCCATCCTGTTTCATTCTGCTCTTCCCATCCATTCCGCCCATATCGTCCTGTTTTATCCAATCCAGTCCCTGCCGATCCTAGCCTATCCCATCAAATTTTAACCCGTCCGTCACTTCCCATGCAGTCCCGTCCCATCCCATCCCATCCCATCCCATCCCATCCCATCCCATCCCATTTCAACCAGTCTGTCACTTCCCATTCCCATCCCATCCTCCTAACTTACTTCTTCATATTCCACTCGGTTGCCTCCTTGAGAAGTGTTGCAGCAGAGTTCCTATCCTGGATTGACAGGTATAGACTGACCAGCGTGCTAAGTACACCGTGTTTATACTTCCAGTCTACAGGCAACCCTTCAAGCTTACTCACAGCCTTGGTCACCTGAAACACAATCCTTGTAATCTCAGCCAAATCACATCACATCACATCACATCACATCACATCACCAATATTTATAATAAAATTATTAACAGTTAAGATCTACTAAACATTATTAAGTATCTAATGGCGTATTCATTTTAGAGAAAAATATTTCATCAATTCTACCCTTGACAGGTTACACATAACGTAACACTTATAGAACCGAAACATAGACCTTGGCAACCTGATATGTTAAATGATTTTTTTTTCATTCAGGTGAATCAAACATTTCCACCTTGTGGAACAAATTCAAAATCTTATTTTCTACAAGTTTGCTTTTATTGTGTGCAAAATTTAGACTCTGTCAGAAATAGAGACCTGTACGGAGATCTAAAAGGACCCATTACACATTTAACAGCTGTTTATTACCTCTCCAGCTGTGAGTAGCACTTGAACAGCTGTCAGAGTGTTTTCAGGACTGCTCGTCCCTTCCAGCTGCTCAACCGCTTCAACGTATTTACCTAAAATCGACTTATATTGTTAAAACAGAGAAACTATTTCTCAAGGTAAAAAACTAAAATCATGATATGCACGAATTGTGGGCGTTGTTTTTATTCATTTATTATGGAAACCTTAAAACTACGAATGGAATTAGAAATCATGTCCGTCAGCACCTTCCTGTCTTAAAAACCACACGAATTTAACAAGTTCCAACCTCCAACCCCCTCCATTATTAGTATCCGTCCCTTCAAAATATCTTTATTTAACCTGATTTAGCGAGAACTCCGGCAATTATCAGCTGGCGGTCAGTGAGGATATTGTTATCCAGTTGGTCAACCAACTGCTTACACAAGTCAACCTACACAAATAATATAGGTCAAGGGTCAATAGAATTCAATCTTTGATCAAGATGTGTTAAAGATGGTAAATACACATTCAGTGACATTGTGAACTAAGTAAGTTACATAAGTTGCATAAGTTGCATAAGTTGCATAAGTCGCATAAGTCGCATAAGTTGCATAAGTTGCATAAGTTGCATAAGTTGCATAAGTTGCATAAGTTGCATAAGTTGCATAAGTTGCATAAGTTACATAAGTTACATAAGTTTCATAAGTTACATAAGTTTCTTCATCATTATTAATTCAGTGAAACTTTAATTACAACTTACAAGTTTTCGCCGATTTAAAAAAAAAGAACCCACAATTGCAAATGATAAATTTTGAGCTAGAAAAACAATGATAGTCATGCATTTTAGATCAGACAAAGGTTTGAGGCAAACCGTAATAACCGTTGTATGTCTGACATTCCATTCTGTAAACACTGCGTCACTTGAATACATCCATAGTAACATAGATGAATAAAGCAACCCTTATCTTGTGTTGTATACCTGAGCTGTAAACATTGCCAGGAGAACCTGGTTCCTCTGGATCATGTTCCTCTGCTTCCTGGTCAACTTCTGATCCAATCCTATATGGTTAAATCAATCAAACAATCAAACAATCAAACAATCAAACAATCAAATAATCAATCAGTCAATTATTCAATTAGTCAATCAGTCAATCAGTCAATCAGTCAATCAGTCAATTAGTCAATCAGTCAATTAGTCAATCAGTTAATCAGTCAATTATTCAATCTGTCAATTAGTCAATCAAATCAACTTCAACTCCAATCTTGCAAAGTAAAATCAATCAATCAATCATCCAATCACCTTCTACTTTGATCTTACAGCAAGCAATCAACCAAAACTTTACAAGAATTATGCAGAATTTATCATGCTCAACCAATCAACCACATTTAGTAATAATCTGAATAACTTTTTAATTTTACCTTCAGCAGTTGCAGCCTTGATTCTCTTCTTACTGTCAAAAATGTTCTGGTCCCTGTGATAGAAAATTCATGATCAAAATAAAACCGTATTTAATAAATTTTTTTTATAATGTTGTAATTAATATAAAATTCTAAAACTTGGTTTGAAAATGTTTTATAATGTTGTAATTAATATAAAATTCTAAAACTTGGTTTGAAAAGTTTTATAATGTTGTAATTAATATAAAATTCTAAAACTTGGTTTGAAAATGTTTTATAATGTTGTAATTAATNCCCCCCCCCCCCCTCACAATTATTATTCGATTGATGAATGAATAGCAGATTGTCCGCACTATGGAATTATTTCAACTATCTGTACCTAGATCAACTACTTCTAGCTAATCTATATTGGGAACCAACCTGTTGATAGCTAGAAGATTATTGCTTGCAACAGCAACTAGTCCAATATCATCAGGTTTACTCTTCAGAACAGAATTATAAATATTCTGAGCCTCCTTCTCTTTACCTTGCTTCTGCAGAACATATGCTAGCTGGACCTAGAAAATGGGATAATAATTTGCTAATGCAATTTCCAAAGTGACAAAAAATCAAATAACAAAATGAAGAGATAGTCTTAATATCCTATTATACTAGGTTTTTATTCGCGCCCCTCATTCCTAACAAAAATCAAAACTCTGAAAGTCTCCATTATAAATCTCTTAAACTTTTGTGGATTTCTCTGTTGAAAAATAATATATTTTGACATTTATTTATACAGGACATGACTGTAGGAATGTTAATAATAATAATAATAATAATAATATATATATAGAAGACTGGATGTTCAATTCCCTTCTGTGCTCATAATTAAGCGCTCCGGAAAATCTGGATTTTATCTAAATTAAAAAATTTAAGAACGTATGTGGATTGTGCAATTAGTCTGGTAAAGTAACAAAACATAATTAAAATGTCTTGATAAAATGTTGAACTTGTTTACCCGGATGATTCCAACTTCCTGTTCTATATCCTCAGCCGAATCTCCTTCTTCCGCCAGGAATTGACGAGCTTGGGACTCCGCCGCGACCAGTTCAACCTCCGCCTGATCATACTCACCAACAGCTGCCAGCCCACAACCACAGTTATACCTGCCACAAAACACTGAGTTTAAAGGAATGTTCTCTAAAAATGAAAAAAAGGGAAAAGGTAGATATCTTAAAATATCCGTAATAAATCGCCAACACTACTAACTCCACTCAAAAAATGAAAAATGTTAAATAAATCCCTTCCATTGACCCGAAAAAGCTCATATGACCCAAAGTAAGAAGAACTGTCCAATTCTTTAAAACGGGATAATTTGAAGGATTTGCGAGGAATTAAAAAAAAAATTTTATAAATAAGTTCATTTATTTTCCCATTACATCTTTAATTCTTCCCATTTGCTAAAATATTTGAAGAATAAATGAGTAAGAATAGATTTTGATTGAAAATAAATACCCCTCTAAATATTGCATATGTTAACCTGAGCTCGTAGGTTTCAGTTTGATCAGTTAGAATGGTATCGGGATCAGCCACCTGGGCAGCAACAGCACTTAACAATTAAAAAATTATCATAATAGAATACAAATCATGAACATTAAATTATCATTAAAATCCTTTTTAAAGTCGGTAAAAAAAGGCAAAAGTTCACGCTAGAATAGAAGAATTTTAGATAATACATGAAGGCTAATTTCTAAAAGAAGTATTATTTAAAATAATTCTGTAAAAAATAGATAATTTATGATATACAGAAGGATATGGATCCAGGTATCCCACCAAGACGACTGAAAACATGAATACAATTGAGTTCCATCTAGCGGCCAATGTTACACAAATTGTTAGTTCCCATATTCGCCGCTAGTATATATTGTGGCGCTGCATATCAGAGTTCTCTTATTAACAGACCCTTTATAAAGAGACTCTGGATATACCTGATGTTGGTCTTTCGTTCGGTCTCGAACTCGTCGGTTGAGTTCTTGATGATGTTCCTGTAGAGAGAGAAGCAGTCATCAAACATCTCAAGCTTGTAAAGGATCTGGGCTTTCAGCTCGTCATGCTTCAGCTAGATAAACATTAAAAATTGTTACATTCCAAATCATATCAGATCAAAATAAATATAGAAAAATTTCTAAATTATTTTTTTTCTTCAAAATAATATTAAGAAAGTTAATTATAAAGCAAAAGCTATTATATCTCGTGACAAACCATAAAATATAATATTTCTTTTCTTCAAATTAGTATTTACTTTCCATCCATTACTTTCAATTCAGAGTTTAATAATAAAATTGAAGTAAGGTTTAATAAAATTCCATCTCTGATCTTGATGGGATTGGGATGAAAAAAACATTTTAAAACGAAAAATGCACGCTCCGAACAATGCGAGTTTTTTAGTATGTCTTATAAAATTCAGTAGTGTAAAATGAATTCAAGGTTTCTAATGATCTAAATGTTGGAAAACATTAACGTTTAAATGTATGGAAAAATATATGCTCATTTGTTCTGTAGAATTTTCAGTACAATTTGACATTGTATTTGTTTACTTAACGACACTTAAGTACTCCAGAGCAACAAATCTAGACCTATAAAATGACCAACACACAAATTGTGGGTGTGTTATAAAATGTAAATAAAATCAGATAAAAAATCATGGTTTTAATTCCACCGGAATGACTAAATATTTATAATTACGGCCTCCTAATCAAATCTAGATCTAAAAAAAAATAAGAAAAAGTTGGGAATTTACCTCAGGATTCTTCACGCCTTGGATAACCTTTAAACTCTTCTCCAATTCATTCAATCTTAAATAAAATAAAATAAAATAAAATTTATAATTAAAACAGAGGGGTCACGATATGAAAATAAGATAAAAGATGGCTCCGAAAATTTACAAAGTTCTTTCTTTCAAAACCTTTCATCTGTTTTATTGATAAAAAAATTACACAACGTATATTTTCCTCACTGAGTTAAAAACTCCACAACAGTGTGGCAGAGCTTATTGCATTAATATGTTTAGATACCACAGCATTGTGGTAAGGTTTTGCTGAAAAGATTATTTCATTTTATGTGGATCCAGAATCACGTTAGCGAGGACTAATAGCCTATTAAAAAAATAAAAACAAACAGGATCGCCATTAAGAAATACCCTGGACATTTTTATAGTCCTATTATTATAAATATTTATAAAATCCCCTATCAATTCCTTCAAATGAAGGGTTATATATCTGTGCTTCGGAATAGGATTCATTTAACTTTGATTCGGATCCGGAAATTGGATCCGGTACATGAATATTTATTTAAGATTTACAGATAGTTTTAACAGTAGAAGAATTTTCGAATTATTACTTAACTTTTATTTCACTTATTTTTTGCAACAATTTGATGAACCATTCAAAGAAAATGACATTTTTTTCATAGTTTAGATTTAAGTTTTGAGAGCAAAAGATTTGTTATTTGCAGTTTTTGGTTGATATTTTTCCCCTTGGATCCGGATCCGTGGATCCGCACGTTTTTGCGAATCCTGATCCAGGAAGCCAAAATTTTACGAATCCAAAATATCCTAGATCCTGTTTTAAATTGTAATCTTCAACCTGTAATGACAGTAGGCAATTTCAAAGGATAAATCCAGGTCCAGTTTTCCCGCATCAATCTGCCAAAAAACCATTTTATTAAATTTTTTACTATAGCACAGTTTTCGACTGAAGAAAGATTTTTTAAACAAATGGCTCTTTTAGTGTCTTTATCAAAAATCAAAACTAACAAGAGGTGGAAGAGGGCAAATTGCATTAATGTCCTTTAAGAGAAATTTGTGCGGTTATACGGAAGAATTTAAGAACGATGAAAAGCTTTTCCTCCCTCCTTTGAGCGGATATTTCTGGAGGGAAGGATGTTGTACTTTAAAACTAGAAATCACTATTATCAGCTTGTGCCTACAGAACATAATGAACAAAATCTAAAAAATGTTTTTTTTCCTGTTTGAGTGCGTCCTGGAACTTGCCGGTATGGATCATGGCAACTATCTTGCAATGGAAGGCGGTAACATCGCCGTGGTCCAGGTTCAGGATACGGTTGCAAGTCTTAAAATGAATCCGACATGTTAGACTGACTTCAGATGCAATTCGTCAAGAACATTTTTTTCCCTTGAAGTTTTACTAATTTCTTAAACTAGGGCAAACTGAGTTTGCTTTCTTACTAAAATTGAAAGTCTGAAACATCAAAACGAGACAAAAAGACAACCTTTAACAAATATTTTTTTAATATAATTTATAGAATCCTTTTTCAAGTTTACATAAACAATATAGTGGATTCTAGAAGCAATATTTCCACGCAAAACTAATATGGCGAAAATGCGTAATTTCTAATTAACCCCGTACCTTGATTGCTTTCTCGTACTCCTCGTTCTGTTTGAGAGTGTTGAGCTCCCTGTACAAGGCCTTCATCTCCCCCTCCTTCCCTTCTTTGCTGTCCTTTTTAGACATTTTACTTGAAACAGATCTCATTTAACGGGACTGTAAGCGTCATTTAAAGAAGTGGAACGAGGTATGACTGGCTGAACTATTTCTCCTATGCTGGTTCAGATTGATCTCTTTGGCAAAGGAGGTAGTTCAACTAGACGTTGCAAATTCAACTCCTTTTCTCTTCCTTGACCATTTCCGATTGTTCATTCAAAGTTCTAATTAAAAATGAGAATACTAATAAATAAATTAACAAATGCAAAGGTTAAAAATCACAGTTTAGTTTAAAATTGATTAAATATCTCCGACTATATCATCTTACAAATCCATGCCAGGTAACGCCTACAGATTTTGATTTTGGTGGATATTTTTCTGCTTCAGTTGAGATTCAAAATCCGGTATTTGATCGACTTCGGGACATGACCTAAAATACAACCAGAGTGACATTTATCAGTGGCGAAACTGGGGGGGGGGGAACCGAGTTTCGCCCCACTTTAGCCCATCCCCCCTCACTCCAGCATAATCATGATTGTGGACCATCTTTAATCAAATTTTGTCAGTTAAGAAAAAATACCAAAATATTTCTTTGGAGCATCGCGCATTATTTTCTGATAAAATTTGTAACTATTTTCTCGTTTTCGACTAAAGGAAAGTTATTTATTCTTAATTCATCCTTTCTAAAAAACCTGTACATATGTTACAATAAAAAGAAATATAATAATGTTAGTTAAATATAATAAGGTCAGATTATTAGAACTTTTGCAGACTATAAGAAGAAAACAGGGTAAGCCCCTCACTGGCAAACAAGGACAGAGGACTTCGATCAGAAAGACTATTATGACTTATAGACAGACGAAATATATGAACAAGCACTGCCAAGAACTACTTAATAAATAGGACTGCACAGACCTACGATTAAGGGACTATACATAGTATACTATAGTGTAAAGTGGACTAATATGACCAATGAATGAATTACAAAAAAATTGCTGTGGACTGTAATAGGGACTTTATATATTAATAGTGAATATGACTAAGCCAGGGACTAATAGACACTAAGAAATACATGAACAAACACTATATAGAAGAACCGAATTTTTTGGCGCATCGCACACATGTTTATTTTACTAATGTCGCTCATTTTAAAGCTGTTGGAAGAACATTTTTTAACACAAGAACAAGCCATGGATATTATAAGAATTTGGTATATTATTAAGTACAGAGCTAACCCTTCAACAATTAAAATGTTTTTTTTTTTGACTTCAAATCCTGAAATTGCAACGTTTTTTTAAAATTTTTTTCGATGACTTTCTGTTTTCTTGTATCCAATAAAGGTCAAAACGGCTGAACCAATTGGGTCAAAATTTTGGGTGGGACCTCACATGATCCAAGGGAAAAATTACTGACAATTAAATTAGTTTTGACTTTTTTGGAAAAAGCGCCAATTAGAAAAGAAAAATCTATCAAAATTTGAGATTAAATAAAAAGGCCAAATTTCAGGGCAACAGTTATTGGCTAAAAATATTTAGAGAAAAGGGGCGAAGCGCCTAAAAGCCTTGTGATTTTAAAAATAGTTTAGAAATTTTTATTTTTTACCAATGACTAATCTCCCATCGTAGCTGAGACTCGCGAATGTCCAAGGATCTACGGAACTCCATTCTGCAGTGTAAACTGAATCCTATAAGATAAATCAGTTTGGGTTGAAAAAAATAGAAAATCAAACTTTCCAGTTGTCTTCTCCCTCTAACAATTTAATCTCTATGTTAAAAAACAAAGTCAGAACTAGAATTTACTCAATCATTTAGTATTATCGTTTGCCACAAAAATCATTTTATGATATTATAGTTTGTTACTTAATTCTTGACGTGAACCAAGTGACAGCATTTTCACCCATTTTCTTTATCCGCTTTATCTTTATAAATATATATATATGGGCGAAGAGCTTTATTATATAGATTAGTACCATAATTAACCAATAACCATATTGGGAACCTCATAATGATAAAAATCCCTGAAAAATTATTTTTTTTTTACATGGGGTGTGTGTTTTTTTTTTGAAATTATACACCCCTGTAATATCTAAAATGTTAACCTCGTGATCAGTGAAGGTCTGAATAATACCGTCCTCTAAAACAGACTCCTGTCCTCCTCCTGGTTTATCATCATCCTCCAGACTCTGACGATAAGGTTCACTTGACAAGCTTGCCTAGATAGAAAGATAATTCCAATTCCAAAAAAATCTTTACCCCAAAATAAATCCAAAGAGAAAATTGATTTTTGTTCGTTTCTCCCCCCCCCCTCAAATAGAAAAGATAATTAAAGTGACTGTAAGCGTAATTTAAAGTGACATTTCGTTTTATAAAGTGTCATGTCCGAAATAAAGTGCCAAGAAACCGTGCTAGTGTACACTAGTAAGGATAGTACAGTGTTCACTGTAACCTACAGTCTCCCGGCATTCTATCTTCATCTATACAAATGAGGGTACCTAGCTTATCGTTGTCCTGACAAACGTATAATGGGTTCCGTTGTAAATCGGACATGTCTCTTTATAAATGGAAGGTCAATTGAAATTAAGCTTACAGTCCCTGCAAGGATGGAGAGATGAGAAAGGTACCTGAGAGATGAGAAGAACTCTTGAATCAGAACCTGAAGAGAGGAGAAGCTGATCATGAAATGAGTTGAACCGAACTGACCATACCCAGTGTGAGTGTAGCCTGGAGTTAGAGAGAGGTTGTGTGGCTTGTCTTGAATCCCAGATATTTACACTACCATCATCTCCGCCGCTGCAACAGTTCAAAATACAGGAATATGCATTACTAGATTAGGAACCCAACGTTGCCCAGGGAACTTACAGTTTTTAAAGTCGTTTACCCCGCGCTTGGTCGTAAATAAATTTATCTTTTTTTCCCTATAAAAGGCGACCCCCTCAACTTAGAATCTCAAAACCAAGCCAAGAATTTCCAATCAAAATTTGAGACAAATCGGTTTAGGGGTTCTTGAGCTATAATCAGACAAACAAACAAACAAACAAACAAACAAACAGACAAACAGGGATTACACATTTAAATATATCGACAAAACAAATCTACTGAGGGGACACAAGTCTATGAAGAGGTGAAAATTACTGTCTTGCAAATGAAACAATGACATTGATTTCATAGATAGAGGACATCAAGAATAGATAACCTCAACCCAATCCCAATGTTAATGGAATCTATGGAGTCCAAATAAAAAAAATACATATCTCATTTCAAATTTGAATCAAATCTGTGAGTGTTCACCGAGGGGAGGAAGGCCAACCACATCAATCTCTAGTCCGAACCACATTCTCATCATTTTCTCGTCCGAACCACATCGAAATCCTCGTCCTTTCAAAATTATTTTTTTTAAGTGTCCGATCCTTGAAAATAAATACATTATTTAAAAATATGTGCGACGTTAGGGCATAGATGAAATACAAAATTTTCCCAATTAAATTTTAGATTTGTGTAAAAATGAAAATGCTCCATAAACGATGTTAAAAAAAAAATCTAAAAACACATTTTTAAGTTTTATTAATTTTTGGATGGATCAAATGTTTAACAAGATCCCATTAGGTGAAAAATCGAGTTTTTGGTCATTGATAAACAATGATAATATAACTGTCAATAAGTTATTAAATTTTACTTCTATAGAGAAAGTTTAGTTGGGTTCCCAAGCTAGTACAATATAAAACAATTCTACTGACTAAACTGAAACGATGATTAGTTTGCATTCCCTTCAGGTCGAAAAATCCTTTTTCTTCAACTTAATGGCATCCAATGAGTGCCAAAAAAATCACATTGAATTGAGGACAAACATTGACAAATATTCAAATAAATGAAACTAACCTTGCTAAATAATACTGTTTATTTGGATTAAAATCTAAACTTCTAATTGCAGATCCTAAATAATAGATCATGATTATTATCCTTAAAGGGAGTGACCGGCAATGTATGGTAGTTGAACTGAGAAAGTAGTTTTGTGGAGAAAACTTTTAGGGTTCATTTGAGACATATAAACCGTTTTAATGATGTATAATTACTGAGTTTGAGCGCAAAGCCGACTTTCAAAATCTTCCATTTGGGTTGTTACGTTTTGAGAATTTATTTTTTTAGATAATTGAATAACGACTACAAAAAATGTGACAAAAATTCTAAAGTAAACTAGTAAGTTTTTTAGGAACAGGCTGAGAAAATAAAAATTAACTCACATCATCGAAAATAAGTAATCTTATTCAGTTATTAGTTTTATGTCCCGTTTTTCACAAACATTTGCTGTAGATTTTCTGGAATTTTTGTTGAAAAGACGACGGTGTGCAAATTATTAAACCTTTGGTCTCAAATGCATGACTCCCTGCAGCTTTATACGTGTTTATTCTTTATTTAGCAAATCATAAGTATACCAAATTCATTCTTCAGATAGTACAAAGGAAAGATTAAAGAACATCTTTCTAATATCATTATTTTTTGCTTACCCTGTATTTGAGATATTTTATTATTTAACCTGAATTAACATTAATATTCCAGGCCTTCTCTCCTGTTCTAGAATCCCAGGAGATTATCTGACTTCCACATACTGTACTTAACTGGTGACATCCTCTATACAATATACTTAAAACCTTTGAAGTAATCTTTCATAATTAACTCCTTCTTAGATAGTGGTTGTCAACTGAACGTAATGATGATAATAAATGTAAGATTTCAGCTAAACTGCAATATTAAAATGAGTACTAAAACCACCCTGCTAAAGAAATCGATTGCCCTGATTTGAATTCTGCAGAAATGCAAACACATTTTAAGACCTTTGAAGTGACCTGTATGCATTAAGGAGTAATATCTTGACAATGTCTTAAAAAATCCTAATTTAATATTGCTGAAAAGTTAAACAAGAAACTTAAATCTCCTTTTACAAACTTTTAATGCTTTGAAATATTCATTTTCAAGTCTCATATATTTTCTATGTCAGGGACAGACTTTAATGAATTTGAGGGGTTACTGAACTACCTCTTCATGGTTCAGATTTAATTCACCCATTCTAATTCTTCTTTAACTTTGAATCGGTGGTTTAAATTTGAACCGGTAGTAGGTAGTTCAGCAACGTAATTCAAATTTATTTTAATTCGGTCCAGGTTTACATGAATAATGTTCCTGTGGGGGTTCCAAGCCGAGGTTTCTATTCTTGTTTGACCTCGGACTGTATGTTGTGATTCCCAAACCTTAAAAAATGTTTATTATTTTCTAATTTTAGGGTTTGTCCCAGGAGTATACTGTATATTATTTTCTAATTTTAGGGTTTGTCTCAGAGGAGTATACTGTTTATTATTTTCTAATTTTAGAGGTTGTCTCATTTTGTATATTTAAAAAAATGATTTTCAGAGATATGGGTAACTGAATTAAATAATTGGACATGACAAGGCAAGATTTTTCATTCTTTTTTTATAGTTTAAGACAAAACTTTGTTTCCTTCCCTTAAAAATTATTTATTTTCCCCACTTCAGGGAAGAAAACCCTAAAAACCCTACGAGCCAACAGAAAAAACTTCTTGAAACAAACATTTTTTTTAGAAAAATATACACCCATGGTTTAAGTTCTATATCTGATGGCCAAAACCATATAATAAAGAATAAATACAATTTAGGTTAGGTATGTTATTATGAAGCATTTTCCTGTAAAAAAAGTCTAAAAAAGTCTTTAAAAAATCTTTAAAACCATTAATTCTTGAATTAAAAATTCTATCCTCATAAAAAAACACATATTTATTGGTAACCGAAAGTTATGACGACATTGAAAAAATTCATAAATTGACGCTAAAGATTTACCTTTCTTAAATATTTTCTCGTCTCACCTTAAGAGGGCCGGAGGAGCCTAGATCAACCAGTGCTACTTTATCCCCTACAGACATGGCCAACTTAGAGGCGTCGTTTGGTTGATACCAGGCACCAACCATCTCACCTTCTTCAACCACCTGAACAATCAAGGTGATCAGGGAAAGAGAAGCCAACTTGATATTTGCGCAAACTCAAGGAAAGTCAAAATTATTCGTAAAATTATCTTCACCTTGGATAGATCTGCAACTAACTCAACTGCAGGTATACTCCCTTCATCTATCTCAGAGGATCCCTTAGATTAATTTTATCATTATTTTTTAGAAAACTTGATTAAGGGGGTTGTTAGCTTTAAGTGATTTTTGATTGAAGACTGCCACAGTGCTATAACCCTACCACTGTCATGCATTTGGAATAGAGTAAAATTTCGCACATTCTATTGCTTGTCATAACTTAATAAATTCAAGAGGGATTTTCTAATAAAATTAACCAAGGCCGGGTGCCATACATTTACAGATAGAAAATACAAGACATATTCGCCATCGTTAGCTAGCGAAAGGTTTAAACCGTTCAAAGCACTATTTAAATAAGGGGGTTTCTTCAGCTTAAAAGATACTGTAAGCGCAATTTCAAGTGACCCTCCAAAAAAGATGGCAATGTCCGATTTACAACGGCACCCTTGAAACCTCAATCAGATCAAATATTGAAGATACTGTCGTTTTTCTGACTCGTTAAGTGTTCATATATGTGAGTTGAAAGAAACAAAAACATTTATATCTAATTCCTACTTGATCAGACAAAGCTTTCAGGGGTACAGTTGTAGATCAGACTATGCCAGCTTTGCATGGAGGGTTACTTGAAATTACGCTTACAGTCTCTTTACATTAAAATCAAACTCACTCTATGTTGAGGAACACTCCAAATTGCGCATTTTTTCTTCCACGTTGTTTTCTCCTTTTCTCCATAGGTTGATAGGAATATATTTGGCTGTTCAGGGTTAGGATTCAATCCCCATACTTCACCTCCAGTGTGCTTCAATACTCTCTAACTTACATTCAACTTTCAATATATTAGTATCATTTGGCTCTTTGTGCATGTAATTAGAACTAATTAAAAAATTATAAATTAGTGATTCATTTTTTTCAATCAAAAAAAAAGTTTGAAATGATTCCTTGTTTAACTGTCCCGTATCTTCGTCAAGTGTAACTTAACAAAAGAAAATGTATATTATTTCTACAGGGCGAGTAAAAATAATCGGCATTATTGATATTTTGAAAAAAATATTCATAATTATAGTTAAATTCGCATTTTAAGCATTAAAAAATAAAAAATTAAATTTTTCAAATCCCATTTAATTGTTTTTATGTCTTAACTACGAGCAAAACTAAAAATATGAAAATTTTGTCCAAAGCATGGATAATCTCATTTTTTACTCACCCTGTTCATTCCTAGTTTAAGATAGATTTACATGACCAAAGGAAAATAAATTGTCAATATTATGATAGCTCTGATCAAAACAAAAAGTATTTATTGACAGGACATCTCTTAGGTTTAATGTCTGTGAAATATGACAATATGTTTCGGCGGGAATGATTTTATATGCCCTGGAGGAAAATAATGAAAAATTGGACCCATTCCTATTTGATACTTTTTACCAACAAATGTCATTTATTTTCTTACAGGAATGATTTATTGTATAAATATTAAACTTCGAAAAATGTATTCGCGCAGAATTTCTAATAGAAAGTTTTTGAGGCTTACTATCCTTGACATTTTTGTTTCATTTTTTTATTAATTTATATCCCATAAGAATTATTACATCATATCTGTTCTGTTCCATAGTAGTAAACATATCGTGTAAGAATTCCCATTATTACATGGTTCACGAGAAACAATTTTAATATTGTTCGCTTCCTTGCGTTTAAGAATGCTTATTCTTACACTGTAGGTGCAGAATTTTCATCCTTGAACGCTCAGACTGTGTAAGAATGGAAATTATTTCTAGGTCAGAGCGTGAAAGAATGTATATTCTTACATTGAAATACTAGTGTCACACACTTCTAGTGGGGTCTGAGCACTCCATAGCAATGAAAACAAACCAATAAATCTTGCTTCATGAATAAAAGACAAAGATCTTCATCAGTTCATGTCGAATTAGTTTTTACTAGACCCGCTTTTCTCTCCTCTTTTTGGAAGATCTAGGATCTTATATACAGGAAATGATTCCTTGTATACAGGATTTCATGATTTTGTTCAGTAGATTAAGACAACCCATTACTATACCTTCTCCTCATCTAAAAAAAAACTCAAGGCAGATTCAACTTGAAAAAAAAACAAGCAAATGCGGTAGAAATTGGTAAACAAACCAACTAAACTAAGGGAAACAATCACACCACATGCATTACTTTCAAATTAAGGACCAATTTTTACTTATAAAATGGTTTTTAACATGTTAGCATTATAACTTTAGAAAATTAAAAACATTGATAGTCAGAACAAGAGCATAAAACTTATTTGCAACCTTTCACAATGTGAACTGTTCCTCCAACTTAAAAAAGTCTGATTTCACAAGAATAATTTTTTAATATAATTTTTTTGGGTATGTGCTTATGGAACCTCACAAATATGATACAATATTAATCTTATTCCATGTACGTACCTATATAGACGAAGTTATCAGATTTCAAGGACTGAGTACCAACCAGAAACCGGATATTCTCTGTATCCGCGACAACAGCTGACAGTGCTCGGCCCTGATAATATGTACATTGTACAATTTACCTGCAGAAAAATGTATTTTAAAGAGTTGAAGGGAAAATTATTTTTGAAGAATTAGGGGATAATTGCGGGCAAAATAAAAACAGGACATAAATTGGAAAAATTTCCTTTTCTGATGGATATTTTTGGTCCAAAAGTTCTTTTACTTTCCCTTTACACTCAATTTTTTCCTCATTTCAGTGATTAAATCTTCTCAACAGCAGTTTCTTCCTGGGGAAAAAATAATCAAGGAGAAAAGGTAGATTTGAGCAACAAAATATAAACACATGTTTAAGTATTTTAGAGACAAAAATCAACCAAATATTCTAAAACTGCAAGTTTTCCCAACCAAAATCTTCCAAGTATATTGGGAAAATAAATGACAAGGAAAAATAAGTTAAAGTTTTGACCTGCAGTTCCAGTCCATAGATGAGACTAGGCTCAAATTCCTCCGGCATTTTTAGAAAATCTGAAAAAATTATTTTCTCCAAATTCTGAGAAGTTTATCTTTACCGCCGCTAACCACCCGCTGTCCATCCGGAGACCAATCCACGGTGTAAACCTATAAATTAATGAAAAGTAAAAAGAGAAAAATAACTAAAAAACTATTTTTAAAAAAGTAAAGAATGTTTGATTACAATTTATCAGAAAAATTATTTAGAATAAATAAGTGCCAAGTGGAAAGAAGTAATCCAGCAAATGCGTTGATGAAGTAAAATAACATTTTAATTTTCTGTGTTTTTTGACATGCTAACAAAATTTTTCCGATTTTCATTTTAAAAGTAAGGGTAAATTGTTTTGTTCGGAGAATTTCCTAAAGCCGAATTTTAAGAATTAAAACGTTGTCGCTGAACCGCCAAAAAACGGATCCACATACGAGTGGCTCAAATCTCGAATTTCAATTGAATTGAATTTCAAGTGGAAATGCGACTAAAATTCTTTAAATTTGGCCTCTTTTAAGTTAAGAATAATTACTACCTCATCTCCGTGACCTGGCAGATCTGTGTGCAATTTCTTGGTTTCCATTGACCAGAGTTTCAGGGTAGAATCAGCTGACCCACTCACCAAAAGCCGGCTATCCGCAGCCCAGGCCAGCTGGTATACAGCCTAGCAATCAATCAATAAATAAAACAAGCAAACCAATCAATCAAGCCAATAAATAAATCAACAACCAACCAAGCCAGCCAAAAATTATGGTTTTAGACACTCTAGAGCTTTTATTAAACTCTTAAAATATTTGCTTTTTTTGCCTTATCTGAAAAACTGACATTTCAAAAAAAATTAAGATGTTAAAACCTGCAAAGAAAAAAAAACTTAATCTTTTATTTTTTAACATTATCAAGATCATATTTTAAAAAATTTTAAATACTTAAAGCTGTCCCAAAAACAACCATTTAAAAATCTAAATAAATGTTGTTTATTTTTACCTGGACATGCCCTCTGAGAACACAAATATACTTCCCCGTTTTCCCGCACCAGATCCGTATACTTTTATCAAAGGAAGCAGACGCTACCAATCTCAGGTCAGGACTACAAAATCAATCCACCAATCAATGAATCCACCAATCAATCAATCCGCAAATCAATTAATCAATCAACCAACTAACTTACAACCAACCAACCAACCAATCAGTCAATCAGCCACCCAGTCAATCAATGAATGATTTAATGGTAATTTTACATTATCTACAGGAAAAGGCGAGAAATAAAAGAAAAACGATTTTCCTTAAAATAAAGTTTGTCTCACCTGAATTTGACATCATTGACAAGTTGTTGATGACCGGTCATGCGAGCAATAGATTTCTTTTCCTTTTCTGGTTTCCACATGAACATCGTAAAATCATCACTTCCGGAAACTAAAATTAAAAATAAAAAATTTAACGAACTAGTTTCTCGGAGACACTTTTTAAACATATTTATTTTAAATTTTTATTTTTACAAAAGTATTTTGACATTTCTGTTTTTCTAAATCTCAATTTTCTTCTTGTTGTGCGTGCATGATCCATCAGTTTTGGCTAATCTTGAAAAAAATTCAGAAAATTTGTAACAAATTAAAAAAAGTATAAACTTGTAAAAAAAATGCTTGAATCCTCGTCTGATTGACCGACCTAATATCTCCTCTCCGACAAGTTTTATAACTCCGGAATATCTTTTCTCTGCCAACTGTTTCAACTTCTCCCCCTCGCTACTATGCTCATCCGGAACCAACTTCGCATCCTTCAAAATATTCAAGCTTTATTAAAAAAAAATGGACAGTTAAAAAATATCAAAATTAAAAATGATGTGAACTCTGCTAACAAAAGAATTAAATTTTTCTGGATAGTACAGTATTCCAGTTCTCTTATGGACAATTTAAAGCTCTAACGACTGAAAGGAAAATGAATTTACTTTAAACAACATGTTTTAAGGAAAATCCTTCTTGAAGAACGGGACTTTTTTATATCAAGCAATACAAACTGATTTATAAAGTTTTACTTTAATGTTTTCAGCGTAGTGTAGACTAAGAAGTGCAGAGTCCATGCTACAGGATGAAGAGTGGAAGATTGATAGTGCAGAGTGCAGAGTGCGGAGTACAGAGTGCAGAGTACAGAGTGCAGAGTGCAGAGTGCAGAGTGCAGAGTGCAGAGTGCAGAGTGCAGAGTGCAGAATGCAGAGTGTATTGTGCAGAGTGCAGGGTTGCAGAATATATTGTTTATAAGTGTTGAGTAATATTTACCTTCGGGTCGAAGAGTGGAAGATTGATGTGCAGAGTGCAGAGTGCAGAGTGCAGAGTGCAGAGTGCAGAGTGCAGAGTGCAGAGTGCAGAGTGTATGGTGCAGAGTGCAGGGTTGCAGAATATTTTGTGTAAAAGTGTTGACTGTTAAGTAATATTTACCTTCGGATCGAATGCTCCAGTTCTGACAACATAATCTGTATTTAGAGCCAGCACATTAACCCAGTGTCCGTGGCCTTGTAATGTTCTATAAAAAGAAAAGGTTTGAAAGGATAGTTTAGCTGAGAAATAAATAAAAAATGTAACCCGAAAGAAAACAATTCAAGAGAATAAATTTATGTACAAAAAATACTACCTGCAGAGGGTTCCATCTTGGGCTCTCCAAACCTTTATTGTTCGGTCCTGGCTTGCGGAATAAACTAAACCTAAAATCAGGAGAGAAAATATTCAATACTCATCTATTCAATCTTTAACTTGAAAAGTATATTTGATAAACTGAGGGCAAACTTTTGTTAGGAAGAGCGCTCAGCAACTAAACTGCGTAAACTTTAAATCAAAAAGCATTTTATTTTTGAGAGATATTCAGGTACTTTATAAAAATGGGGTTCATCTAAAAGTTCAATACTTAAGAAGTTTTTTACTTTGAAATTGACAAACTTTAAAAGAATCTATAATATCGGGACTTAAAGGGACTGTAAGCGAAATTTCAATTGATCCTCCATACAAAGGTGGCAATGACCGATTTACAACGGTACCCTTGGAAGCTTTGTCAGATCAAGTATGAATTAGATATCGAAGTTTTTTGTTTTTTTTTGGACTGTTTATTTTCATTTGCGGTTTCTCTGTGAAAGTGACTTGCGCATTTCTTTAGAAATGAAGATTTTTTTAGTCAGAAAGGTTAAGGTATCTTCCACATTTTGGATCAGATTAATTAAAGTTTCAAGGGTACCGTTGTAAAACGAGCATTGTCGACTTGAGCATGGAGGGTCACTTGAAACTACGCTTGCAGTCCCTCTAATTCAAAAATGTATCCTCAAAGTTACAAACATTTTTTGTCGGGCTTAGGCATATTTAACGATTATGAACTTTATTCTCTTGAATTATCTATATGTTTCACCTGAGCCACCCCATCTAACACTGGTAACACTGGCAGTATGTGAGGTTAGAGTTCTAATACACTGGGATAGAACAACATCCCAAACTCTTACATCCCCATCCTTACTTCCAGACACAACACGTCTATAGGAAAAAATAAACAATAAATATATCTGACAGGGACTTTCCAGATAGAATCCCAAAGCCGGAAATTTAAGAGAGTATCTTTGAACGAAACTCCCGAGTTTCCTTTTCGGGGTATAAACATTTGCGTATATTTTAATTTAAGAAATCAGAAAACAAAAACACCCTTATACAGTTCACATTATAAACTCACTTCCCCATCCTTACTTCCAGATACAACACCCTTATACAGTTCACATTATAAACTAACTTCCCCATCCTTACTTCCAGATACAACACTCTTATACAGTTCACATTATATACTCACTTCCCCATCCTTACTTCCAGATACAACACCCTTATACAATTCACATTTTATACTCATTTCACCATCCTTACTTCCAGATACAACACCCTTATACAGTTCACATTTTATACTCACTTCCCCATCCTTACTTCCAGATACTATACAGTTCACATTTTATACTCACTTCCCCATCCTTACTTCCAGATACCACACCCTTATACAGTTCACATTTTATACTCACTTCCCCATCCTTACTTCCAGATACAACACCATTATACAGTTCACATTATAAACTCACTTCCCCATCCTTATTTCCAGATACAACACCCTTATACAGTGAACATAATATACTCACTTTCCCATCCATACTTCCAGATACAATACCCTTATACACTATACAGTTCACATTTTATACTCACTTAACCTAGAGATACAACATCTCTAAACATTTTGCACTATATACTAAGTTCCTGATCCTTACTTCCAGATACAACACCCGTCCCTTATACAGTTCACATTTTGTACTCACTTCCCCATCCATACTTTGAGAACTCTGATTTAGGTTAATTCCTTGGAAAGGAGTTACAAATTTCAGATCAGACTTACATAAGCTAATATCTACCTGCAAACCCCAGCAGTAGCAAGATGTAAAGGTTCCCAGGAAACTGAAGTTATCCACTGTTTGTGCCCTGTCATAGTTTTACCCTGGGAATACAGAAAGGGAAATTTAACTGGTGTGTATGTTTTATTGATCACAAGTTGAAGTGCCCGGCGTTGCCTGTGGAATTAAAAAAAAATATTTCTCTTGAAAAAAACTCGTTTTTTAACCTATGTTACCCACAGGGTAACTATGAGTTATATTTCAGCCAATTTGGTCCAGACATTTGCTCAGCTTTAGCTGACGTATAAATATATATTTATGAGCAAAGCGTTTTATATAGATTTTTCCCACTTCCACAAATCAGTTTTCCCCAGTTAACTCTCATGTAATAAAATAAATAATGTAGCAAAAAACTCCATGTTCCATTCAAAAAGTGCTAATGCAATAAAATTGTTGTTAAAGTATTTTTTTTACAATTTATTTTTAATCAAAAATTTTTAAAAAGACTTAAAAAGAGCAGTGAATTTTTTATCTTCATTTTTTTGCTAATCTGCAGTTTTCAGTTTTGCCAGGAATGCTGACTCGATAACTGGCTGAATTCCTGAACGGCAAATGAAGTCGGAAAAGAGATGTTTTAAATTATCACACCCGTGATATATAAACATAATCACACCAACTAAACCAATTAAAGTGATTAAAGGTTCAGGTTCAAACATATTCATCATTCAATAATCTTACAGGTTGGAGAAGAAGAAAAATCACTGAGGATATTAATTGTCAGAATTCCACCTTAATCTTGATAAATGGGATAAGAAAGGTTAGAAAAGGATTGGATATTAATCTTTTCCTTACAGCCGGCAGAGTTTAAACTGGTATCATAGTGCATGGTGCACACCCATCAGGATTCAAATCCAAGATTTACAGAGTTCCCATATCTATCCAGGGTTTACAGAGTTCCTGTCTCTATCCAGGGTTTACAGAGTTCCTGTCTCTATCCAATTACTGTTTCTGGCAAGAAGGAGGGGAAGAGAAGCGTAGAGAAACCCCTCCTTCTCTGCACTATTTTTTTTCCAAGTCGGGTGTACCGCCATTTTATTCAACACAGAAACTAGAGAGAGTTGTATAAAAACCTGACTGTTCTGAGCTCAAAGTCCTGGAAAGAACTTAAAATACCAATACCTTAGATCCACAGGTATGTATGCTATTAACAATGAGATGGGCAAACATATTTTCTCCAGCGCACCTTGTTTATACACTAAATCTTATTTAATCTTATTTGTTTTAGGTGTAGCATTACAAGAATAAGGGCTCTAAGCCATGAACTAAAAAAACAGATTATCAGTCCTGATTTAGATTAATTTATTATATAAATATGAAAAGAATTTTAAAGTATAATCATAGAAGTTAGATAATAAAATTTGCTCCAGGTGTGTAATGTGAATATTTCATAACATATTAATGTGATCTAATAATACACTTCAAAAGTTGATTAGGTTGGAGGTTAATAGCTCTTTTAGATCTTAGCTAGCTTAGCTCGTACACAACTAAAAATATCATGATAGTTCATATGAAAGGTATTGAGTTGTAACTTTCAATATGTACTATCAGTAGTTCACACTGATCACACCAGGCTGGGTGGGGACCACCAAGAAAAGTAAGTTTACCATTAGGAGCAGAGAACTTACTTTCATTTATTCCCAAACCACATGGAAGGATACACAGGAGTTCAGGAAAATATTTCTTGCATCTGATTTCAATCATTAGATCTACTTATTCTCCACCTAACTGAGAGGGTGCAGGAGGCATGGGTTTATTTCTAGGATCCATAGCATAATAATCTCCCTGGATCTCTTCCAAATCTTCAGATATTTTCCACAAGGGCAATAAAGCAGTCACATGAGGTATTCTCAGCGCAGTTATTGTAGCTTGAGTTCAGCCAGATCAATCAGAAATTGTTTGGAGTATTTTTCATTGTCAACTCCAGTGTCAATTTTTAACGAGAGTTTCTTGTTAAGGACTGTGACAAGTGTATCAAGATAATCAAACATCATCTTGAAAATGGTTCTACGGGAAACTCTGCCCTCGATAGCCTTCTCAAACTTCTCAAGAACTTTCTCCAGAACTTCCTTCACCAGAAAATGAATATAAATATCTGCATACAATCCATGTTTGACAAACAGATCTCAAAAGGTAAATAACATGAGCACTAACTTCAAGAACACATTTCTTTCTTTTCTCATTGGAACAGTAGGAGTTGCCTAGTTTATAAAGAGCTTCTATATGTTTAAGAATATATCAGACACATTACTGTTGCATTCCTTGAGATACATAAAGATTTCCTCAACTGAGTCCGTATGGCGACACACAGCATGGGCAACGCCAATTAAAATCTGGTGTAAAGCTGCTCAGCTTAAGAGGGGCCCCTCAGAGCAATACAGAGGTGCCAATCTTTATGGAATAAGTAATAACCCAGTTTATCTGTCTGTTCACCTGAGAATGTAGGATTTTTGGTTTCCAGACCTTTATCATCTCCAGCAATCCTGTATTGATCTTTCAGATCCTGTACTTAATCAGCAAGATAGAATTTGTTTCTCCAATTCTCAATACAGATCCTATAGTTTTTGAGCTAAGCGCCAGATCAATGAGCTCCTTTGCATTTTCTTCAGTGTATCAACCTTTTTGGATGTTGTCTTCACTTTATCCTTGGAAGGTCTTGAACTGGACTTGACTCGTCGGAAGATCAATAGTTAGCTCTTGTACTTAATCAGTAATTTCTTGCATATCTCAAATAGTTTCCTCGGTATATTTTTCAACTCTATCAGCTTTCGCTTAGTACCAGAGTCTGCAGATAATACTAGGTTATTAGCAGACTGGCTCGGAGTGGACTCAGCTCTAATCTCTTTAACAGCAGCTGTAATAAAGACTAGAAATCCGGTTCTTACAATTAAAGCAAGGTTTCACAGTGCTTAGAATCAGGATCCTTTGGAACCGCAACATTTTGGCTTCCTGGATCCGGATCAGCAAAAAATATGTGGATCCGCAGAGAAGCGGAACCAAGGGGAAAAATATCAACCAAATACAGAAAAACATCTATTTCTTTCAAACCCCAAATGAACCGTTAAAAAGGTTAAGCTATCAAAGCTAAATGGTTCATCAAGATTTAGAATAAAAGTAAGCGGAAAAAAGAAGACAAATTCTTTTTTTGTTTAACAAACAAGTAAATCTGAAATAAATGTTTGTGACCTGGATCCAGATCTATTTTTTCAGGGGGATCCAGGATCCGGATCCACACAAAAATGAAAGGTATCCTTAACACTGCTTGTTCCACTTTACCTTTTGCTTTCCTGAGAGTGGGTCCCAACAGATTAAGTGACCTATTCAACCAAACAAGATGTTTTAAAAATTCAAACTCGCTTTCTTGCTTAAACAAATTATGTCTTAAAAAAAGAAATCTGACTGTTAGACTCAAGTAATGACTTATAACAGTCCTATGAACATAGAGAACAGCAATTTCTGTGGAGTTAACAGGCCCACTTAATAAGACTCCTGTACAAATATTTGCTTTGTAACAACATCAAATGCTGTCTTCCTATTCTAGAAATAAAATTAATTGCTTAAGATAAATATTATTTAAAGAATCCGTTTTTTGTTAATATTCATGTTAAAAACGTAAATTAGCATTTAAAGGTTTAAGAAGCCTTTTATTACTAAAAACTGTGATTGTCATTTAAAGAATATTTTTTTCCAAATGGAGTACTAGTCTGCAAAAAATGTAAAATCATATGGTGAGGAGGAACAGACCATATTGAGTATACTGTATAATGTTTATTCTCTATTCTAATATTTAGTTGAAAACTTGAATCTAATCGAACTTTTTCATAAAAATCAAGATTATATCTTAACTGCTGTTTTTTTGTTTTCATCTGAACCATTATACATAACTATACATTATTATATTTAAAAATGAAACTATTACAATAAAAAAAGAAAGCAAAAAGTTTTCTATTGTTTGTTTTCCCTGATTTATCTCCAGATACTAGATATTTACAATCAGGAGACCAGGAGATAGCTAGAACCCAGTTCAGATGCCCCTAAAATAAAATCAATATTAGTATGATTATTATTTAAAGTCATTCACCCTTACTTGCCTTTCACTAACATTCAGATAATCCAGATTTATTACATGTTTGTTTTCCAAATTAAGTACCTAGGCCCTAGGGTTAATACTTCATAATGAAAAATTTATATTTTTAACATAAAACATATTTATTTTTCGAAATAAAGATTTCTTAAAAGGTTCAATTTTTAGTATTTACATAACGAGTAACCATTATGATTTAGAAAGAAAGATTTAGTATGACTTTGAATTAGTTTTTTTTATGATCTCAAGATTCATTATCCCCCCCCCCCTTATACAGNTGTTAAGATCCCAAAATCATACCTTGCATTCATGATGAGGTGTTTCTGTATTAAGCTCCCAGAATCCTACCTTGCATTCATGAACAACAGGTGTTTCTATGTTAGGACTCCAGAATCCTACCTTGCATTCATGAAGAGGTGTTTCTTTGTTTAGATCCCAGAATCCTACCTTGCATTCGTGTAGAGGTATTTCTGTGTTAAGATCCCAGAATCCTACCTTGCATTCATGAAGAGGTGTTTCTGTGTTAAGATCCCAGAATCTAACAGTCTTATCTCCTGAGCCAGAGGCCAAAAATCTTCCGTCTAAGAAAGCACATTTATAAAGCACAATATTACGTTTCTTTTTAAATTATGTTAAAACATCTATTTGGAGATTGAAGAACAGGTCGATGAAAATTTTGTCCATATTAATAAATATATTTAATGTGCCAAAAAGAAAAGTTCTTGGGGTTTCTTTAGATTAAAGCTTGCGTAGGGAAAAAATAATACCACGCCATATTTTATTCTCTAATGAGCTTAAGCTTTAACGGGACTGTAACTGTAATTTCAAGTGACCCTCTATTTCTAAAGAACATGCCAAAAGATTCCCTTTGATTCTATATCTGTTCACATGTGTAAATATTTTAGAATTTCTGGCTTGTTCAGTGTTCAATTCTAAAATTTAAACTCACATTGTTTCTGCCACCAGAAATGCGCAAGTCACTTTTGAAGAGAACTCCAAAATTGAAAAAAAAATACCTAACTATCAATTAGAGACACATGAATAGCTTATTCATTTATTTTAAGGGTACCATCGAGGGTCCCTTTAATTGATGAATAATGGAACCTGGTGAGAAAAGTGATGATATGACTGGTTCTCCATATTAACGTATAAAGTCCCTTTAATTGATGAATAATGGAACCTGGTGAGAAAAGTGATGATATGACTGGTTCTCCATGCCCAGACAGAGAGCTTGTACACCTAAAATATTTTATCAAAAATATGTTACCTTTTGAAAGTGACGTTACTCACGGGCACTTTAATAAAGAATATTTTAGTCAATTCAAATCAAATCAATTTAAAAAAATGGGGTTTTGCCAATAGCTTCCGATTTTCAAATCACAGTTGAAAATCTAAAGCGTAGGGAAAAAATTCAAATTTGATCTTTAAAGTGAGTGACCGGCTATGTAAGGTAATGATAAATCAGAATAATAAGAAAATATAAACTAATAATGGAACAAGATCACTTATTTTTGATAAGATTTTCTCAACATGTTCCTAAACAAACTTTTTTACATTTTATGTCGTAATTATTTAATAATTTAAAAAACAAATTCTAAAACGTATCCACCCCCAAAGTAGGAGTTATGAACGTCGAATAGGGGGGGATTTTTTTACCTTTAATTTCATTTTCGAATGCGAAGAAAAGATATGGTCTATTCTTCTCAGTATCCTCAGTGAACAAAGCTTGTAGTATTAACTGTAACTTCTGGGGACTAATATCTCGGGGTACCTAGAGTACAATTGGTTTATATCTAGGGGTTCCAAGAGTACAATTGGTTTATATTTAGAGGTACATAGAATACAATTGGTTTATATATAGGGGTACCTAGAGTACAATTAGGTTATATCTCGGGGTACCTGAAGTACAATTAGTTTATTTCTAAGGGTACCTTTCAGTAAAATTGGTTTATTTCTAGGGATACCTAGAGTTCAATTAGTTTTTATCTAAGGGCACCAAGAGTAAAATTGGTTATATCTATGGGGTACCTAGAGTACAATTGATTTATATACAGAAGTACCTTAAGTATAATTAACTTATAACTCGGGGTACTTGAAGTACAATTAGTTTATATCTTGGGGTACCTAGAGTATAATTGGTTTATTTCTAGGGATGCCTAAAGTTCAATTAGTTTTTATCCAGGGGTACCTAGAGTACAATCGATTTATAATCTTGGGGAACCTAGAGTACAATTAACTTATAACTCGGGGTACTTCAAGTACAATTAATTAATATCTTGGGGTTCCAAGAGTACAATTGCTTTATATATCTTGGGGTACCAAGAGTACAATTGGTTTATATCTCGGGGTTCCTTGAGTAAAATTAGTTTATATATCTCGGGGTTCCAAGAGTAAAATTGGTTTGTATCTTGGAAAACCTTAAAAGAATCTTGTTTACTAATTATTAAATTTTACCTCAAAAGGTTGAAACATAGATTGTCCCGTTTCTGCAGTAAACTGAATTGTTACTTGTTTCTCATCCTGGATACATTACAATATTTAAACATCTGATTTCTCATCCTGGATACATTACAATATTTAAACATC